CCCAAAACAGCCTCAATAGCTCAGGATTCTATTTGGTGGAGTCCTTTTGTATGCTCAGGTCAGTATGGGATAATAAAAGAATACAACAAAAAGATTTACTTGGTATCACAGAGTGTATTTGGAGTAAAAAAACTGGGCTCAAATCTTAGACTTCCCTTAGGAACTTTTTGTTCCTAATTTGTAAAACAAGGAAAACAGCCCTCCTGCAAAATTGGGGGCCAGGCTTATGTGCCATAATGTCTGTGGGTGTGCACAGGTCACTCAAAGTCTCCTTGCCTGAGGAGGACTGGTCCATCACCTCGCTCAGTGGTGACTTTTTGCAGTCCCAGACTCCCCACTTGGCTGTCATCACACTGCCTGGTCCCCATGCAGTCAGCAGGGCCTCACGTGCACCAGGGACGTACAAGTGCTCACTAAATGTATGATCGATAAAGAATGCACTGGGTGGCTGGGACAGTTAGATCGGGAGGAACAGTGGTGATCCTTGGGAGGAAGGACTTCATTTTTAACAGGGCTGTCCTCAAACAAATCAGTCAATTCAATTAAGTCTTTTTCTAAAACCCACAGAAAGTTCTTGCAATACTTGTTAGAGAAAAATCAAGGCCATAAGAGAATTACGAAGGATTCATTTAATACGTCCTTAGAGGTAAAACACTTAGAAAAACAATACTTCGATTTAGGAACTCCTTTAAAACTGTCATTGAGCTATATGATATTTTGAAGGAACGTTCTTAGAAACCAAAAATACTCAAATTGTTGTTCAGAGTGCCAAAAGATGTGGAAGGTAAAAGGTGGCAAAAATAAAGGAGGCTGGAACAAAAGTTGGGTTTTGCTTTCCACTGAATTTGATAATTGCACATAGAAAATCCTATCACTCAAGAGAATGCTTTGATATAAATGTTTAGCTAATGCTTATTTTAAAATAGGTATTTAAAAATGCATATAGTTGTTACTTTTCTATTCAACTATGCTTTTCTGACAAGGAAAGTCCATGGATCTATCTATACGTTTTCAGATAAGATTACCCTTAAGCAGCATAAATACCAATTAGATTATAAAATACTTGTAAAATATATTGACACACGGGGTGCCTGGGTGGCCCAGTGGGTTAAAGCCTCTGCCTTCTGCACAGGTCATGATCCCACGGTCCAGGGATTGAGCCCCACATCGGGCTCTCTGCTCAGCAGGGAGCCTGTTTCCTTCTCTCTCTCTGCCTACCTCTCTGCCTACTTGTGATCCCTGTCTGTCCAATAAGTAAATAAAATCTTTAAAAGTATATATATATATATTGACACAGGCCTTTTACAATTTTTTTAAACTGCCATTTTTCTCATTTAAATTACAATAAGCTAATCCACAATACATCAGAAATAGCTGAAATCTATATGTGGAACTGTGGGGGTAGTAATGTCTGAATCTTTTGTCTTTTGTATTCGATGGGACATTTGAGCTTGATTTGTAGGCACATTCTGGCACAACAGACAGGAAGATGAAAAAAGAAGGAAACTGGAATTCTCAAGCATGATGAAGAGAAGTTATACTGGAGTTAGTTATAAAGAGAAGAGGAGAAATAAGAGGAAAAACAGAAGAGATGAGAAAAATACACATTAATATCGGCGAGGACCACCAAGTTATAATTTCTACTTTAAAATGCCACTGTTGAATGTCTTCCTAGTCTAAGAGTCTTAAGTTGAATTGTTATTTTAGAATCAAAGAAAGGGAAATTTTTTGTTATAGCAAGTATTATTTGGCTTTGATTTTGTGTCCCTGACGTTTATTCTTAAATGCTTTACAGTCGTGAAACACTGCCTTTCATTTCACTCATGCTGTATTTAATTATCACCCGTTATAGCCCTTGCCATTCTTATCACCTACAGGGACTCTGTCTCCTTTGCTATTTATCTGTAGGCTGTCTTCCTCAAAATGGGAATAAGGTAGCCGGCCTCTACCTGATGAATTCGTTTTAGTCTCTCATTTTCCTTAAAATGAGAGACCTTAAAAGGTTTACAACAGGCAGTCTGGCTGCTAGTGCAGCTGACTTCACATATGTTGTTTCTTCAGGTGGAGAGATGGGAGTTAGGTGGGCCCAGGTCTCATCTTCTCTCTCCCTTTTACGCAGATCTCAGAATTTCCAAGGGAGCAAGGGTCTAGATGGCAGTACCGTTCTTCATGTGCTGTGAGATGTAGTCTTGGCCAAAGCAGGCCCAAATCTATATGGGACTGCCTTGGATCTACTTTCTCATGATTAGCATATCAAAAATGGGTGGCACAACACATCTTGTAGTTTTTGTAGTTTTGTAGTTTCTTTCACCGAATTAGGTCAAAGAGAAAGGAAAACATAAAATCATTACTTTGTCCTTTCTTCTCTCTTTTGAGTGCCTAAGGACTGGAATACTTCGATCCACAAAGAAAAGACAGAGATCCTGAAGAGAAGTAAAACTGAGAAAAAGACTGTTAGATTTTAACAATCCTTAGCAGTTTGCTTCTACTGCTTGAAAACGTGGATTCTTTTCTTTTCTGGGGCGTCTTGCATACAGCCCTGTTTCTCTTCCTTTCCCCCAAAGTGAATGTCTGCAGTTCATGAAGTATGGAAGTAAAGTGTCATCAGTACTGTGTTTTCATCAGAGAACTCTCTGCACAAGGCTTTTGATGTAGAATTAAAAAAAAATATGTGTGAACAGAAAGAGAGCATCTTAGTATTAAAATGTGTACTAACGGGATAGGTTTCTCTGTTTTATTTTTTTTAAAGATTTTATTTATTTATTTGACAGACAGAGATCACAGAGAAGCAGGCAGAGAGAGAGGAGGAAGCAGGCTCCCTGCTGAGCAGAGAGCCTGACCAGGACTCTGGGATCATGACTGAGCTGAAGGCAGAGGCTTTAACCCACTGAGCCACCCAGGCACCCCCAGGTTTCTACTATTTTAATGGAAACATCTTAACTTCCCCGGAGAGAATTTTTCAAAAACTTAACAGTTACCTTGGGGCACCTGGGTGACTTAGTTAAGTGTCCGACTCTTGGTTTCAGCTCAGGTCTTCATTTCAGGGTCATGAGATTGAGCCTTAAATTGGCCCCTGCGCTCAGCAGGGAGCTGGCTTGGGATCTTCCTCTTCCTCTTCCCTCCCCCTCACTCTGTCTCTCTCAAATAAATAAATCTTTAAAAAAGTTATCTTATTTGTAAGTAGTAATTATGGTCATAACTGCATGATTTTTGGTTACAGGCAGACACCAAGAAAAATACTAGTAAAGGAAACTGTGTTTTCAAATGACTGGCAGATTCTTTCATAAAAAGATTATGCTGAGTTCTTGTTGGTAAATTATGCCTTCTTATTTTTGTGCTGCTTCAGCGCAGCTATACATTTCATGTGGTTAGGTGTTTGACATTCAAGGAATATTTACATTTTGAGAACTGTTATAATTTCAAATATACTTAAGAATATTCTCCAACTGTCCTTTATTTAAAACAAAAACAAAAACAAAAACACTCTAAAATGAGCTTTATGGGGCCGCCTGGGTGGCTTTGGTTAAGCCTCTGCCTTTGGCTCAGGTCTTGATCTCAGGGTCCTGGAATGGAGCCCTGCATCGGGCTCTCTGCTCAGCAGGGAGCCTGCTTCCCAACCCCCTCTCTGTGCCTCTCAGCCTGCCTCTCTGCCTACTTGTGATCTCTGTCAAATAAATAAATAAAATCTTAAAAAAAAATGAGCTTTAGAATTAGTTCTCATATCTGCCAAAATAATTTCCCAACACTAATCTATCCTGAAAAATACTCAAAATACATGTTTGATAACAGATGGTCTTTACTGGTAAATATATGCTCTATGGGTAAATTTTGAATACAAAAAACTCCAGGAGATGGCCAGATTTGTTGGACCCTTTACAATCTGTTTTTGTTTTTTTTTTTTAAGATTTATTTATTTGACAGAGATATCACAAATAGGGAGAGAGGCAGGCAGAGAGAGAGGGGGAAGCAGGATCCCAGCCAAGCAGAGAGCCCGATGCGGGGCTTGATCCCAGGACCCTGAGATCATGACCTGAGCTGAAGGCAGAGGCTTTAACCCACTGAACCACCCAGGCACCCCTACAATCTGGTTTAATAAACTTTTCCAATAGTATTTAGAACCCTTTCCTTCCCTTCAACTCTCTTCTGGTTCTCGCTATACCCTGTGCTTTGCTTATGTGGTTTCTCCTCCTGAAACATCTTTTCACCTCTGCATGTCCAAATCCTACTACCACAGAGCCTTTTATGATTTTCCTAGGTGAAGGCATTTTCTCTTTCCCTAGAACTGACAGTGTCTTTACCTGTATCTTTGTTATGTGGCTCACCATAGTCTACCATATACTATAATTATTCATGTAGTTATCTATCTCCCTACTAGAATAAATATTCTCTAGGAAATATTTAATTTTCACACCAGCATTTAACATCTTTGTGGACAGTACTGAAGTCGGTTTCATTTTGGTATCTTTTCTAGTGACGAGCTTGGTACCTTGGCTCATGGCAAACCTTTAACAAGCAATTGTTAAATGAAAAAAAAAAGCAGAGGAAGAGAAATAGAAAAAATACACATATTACCATTTGAATCAGTTTGGTATAGTTATGATTAGTGGTCTAGTTGCTTAAGATAGAGGGGATGGCTTTAAGATCGTAGATATAAGGGTTACTTGAATGCAGGATAAATGAATGGATTAATATTCCTTCATCTAATTAAATATGCAAAAAACACAAGTCAAATAATTTCTTCATGGATTTGACTATTTACATGAGCAGGGGCAAGAGAGAGCACTTATATAAGATCATTCCTTGAGGGAAATTCATGAAATTACATCAACACAAACTGTTGCTAGGGAGCAAAAAAAACCTCTAAATCAGTTTGTTATATTAAAATACTGTTTTGGAATTTTTATCAAGAAAGAGGGTTTTTTTTTTTCTTTGAAAATAGAAAAAAAAAGGATGGCATATCAGCAATTAAATAGAGAAGTTGTAAAATTAGATGCGGTTAAAAATCAAAGGAAAAATCTCCAACATATTTTCTGTTAAAGTCAAATCCAATATTTAAAAAAAAAAAAAGAAGAAGAAAAAGAAAAAGGAAAGAGAGAGGAGCTGTGGAAAAAGGAAAGAAAGTTAATGATAAAAGTGATTTTTAACTAAGATTAATCCTTAGTGATACATTTAGAATCGGCTGTAAAGAGACTGAAAATATCTCCTACATTATAAAATACTAATTTTTAAAAGCAACCCGACCCCTCTTAAAGAAGATTAAGTATTTGTGTTGAAACCACATACCAGCAGCTATGGCACACCTCCAGCCCTAAGGAGTGATGTTATGGACACCCGAAATAACTGGGAATGATTATATTTCTTATACTATGAAACCTTTTTATATCTAAATGTCTTACATGAAAAGAACAGTGAACCTCTTTGAAGCCTTTAGGACAATAAAGAAGGAAAATGGCCTAATGCTTTTCTTCCCTCTCTGTAAGTTTCCTTCCTTGTAGAAACATACAGAGTATCATTTTAGCACATTAAATGGCTAACCAACACTTTGGTGTCAGGACACTGCTACTTAAGAAGAGAAAGTACATATAAAATAGTCTACAATGGTGACATTCAAGCTGATCTCATAGAAGAACTGATGCATAGTATTCTGAATGCTATTCCTGACATATACCATACCGAGGGTATTATCTTTATTCTGCATTACATTTTCCGGAAAAAGAAGTTGTGGGAGATTAAAGAACGATTCCTGAAGTCTGAAATCTGTGAAAAAAAAAACACAAGATGCTGTAAAGTGTTGGCTGATGGTTACAAAGGGCCTTCAGTGATGTAGTGGCCAAAAGTTAGAATACTATTCCCAAATATGCTGATTAAAGCTAGCATACATAAAGAAGTACACACTTTGGTTTTAATGAAGAGCTCTCTCTCATGGAAAATGTAAGTGTAATTAACTTGGAAATACAATGTCATAATCTGTTAACACCCAGATATCCCCCGAATTTATAGTTCATATAAGTTCTAATGTAGAGGCAAAACGTGCTAAAAGAAACTTCTCTTCATAATATGTTAAAAACACAGGGGAGTACAAGAAATGGAATCATAAAACCACTGTATATAAACCTGGAATTTTCAAAAGAAATGAAGAATAACTATCTTAGATGCTTCAACTTGATGACAATAAAGTGGTTTCAACAGACAACAACACATACTCTTCAAAGACAGAAAACCTGATTGATTCATGAATTCAGTCTGTGTCCATCTTACCCTCAAAAAGCAAGAGAATCAGAGTCCATAGCTTCAGAATAAAGGTTATCAAGAACTGAGGCAATCAATGTAAGCAGAAAGAAGGAAGGAAGCCAGAATCACCTAATCACAATGACCAAATTCCAGAAAGAAGATTTAAGGAAGAAAGGCTTTATGATTTGCAAGATAGAGCAAGTATGACATAAGGAATGTCGAAATCAGGATTATATAGAAAAGTGCATTATTGAAGCGAGTCTAAGAATTAGTAAGGCAAATCTTGGGAATTTGGTTTTAAAAGGTGGAATTCTATAATAGTTTAATTACATAGATGTCTAGAGATAAATATATGTTAACTAAGAGTCATGATTAGCTCAAATTTGGTGGAGTCTACAGTCCACAAGGAATTTACCATTAGGACCAACGAAGAATTTATATGCAAGAACAGAAAGTGTACTGCTATCAAAATATAATGATGCAATATAGCTAAGCATCTCTCTAACTGTTGTCCTGAAAGAAGAAACAGGTTTCTCATCATTAATTTTGAAATTACTATGTTAAATAAAAAAACAGCTTTCTTCCCTCAGATTCTATAGATTCTCTCTTTATGTCTTCATTACCCTTTCTCGGGGCATTAACATTACAAGGAATTGTGACTTTATACCTGCCATCTTACACAATTCTTTGAAAGTATTTTTCCTCAGAAGTTTAGAGTTTTGACCTCTGCATGTTACAATATAATTGTTTTTTTATAGTCACATTCCTGATATTAAGTAGAAATGAAATCTTAAATCACCAACAGTATAGGAACTTATGTAAGAAACTAAAAAATGAAGTCTGTACAAATATCAAAGTCTAAAATGAATTCTCTATGCACTGTTCAAAAGGCTTACAATTATAAAATTTTCAGTACTCAGAGTATGACATAAATAGGATTAAGGTTAAAAAAATTGCTACTTGTCCAAATTGGAATGTCCAACTTGGAAACGTCCAGGGTAATTCCTTTTATAGTGGGGTTGACTGTGGAGAAAGATCCAGCCTCTAGGACTGCCACGCCTGAGCTTCCTTTTTAAGCACATTTTATGGATGACAATGGATGCTGGTCATTTGAAAATTTAGAGAGCAGACACAGCAAGAAAATAAGGTTACAAGTATCTGAAATAAGTTTCTGTAGTGTAGTGGTTATCACGTTCGCCTCACAAGTATCTGAAATAAAATCTGCTTAAACATTTTTTGAGAAAGGAAGGAAAGTTTTCTGCTTGCTATATAGTCACAAAAAGCAGTTAGTTTGAGAATCCACATTTCCTTATGTGAATCAACAGAAAAATAGGACTCATTAGTCTTATTTTAATGGACACTTAAAAATAAGGTTCAAATTTAGATGCTTGGAATTAAATATATACTAAATGTATAAGAGTTTCACAACTATTCAAGATTTTAAACCTTAGAAATCTACTGGAAAAAATTAAATAAGTCCAGCTTAATTATCCATTCATTCCCTCACTTCTTGAATATCTACTTTTGTTAGGTAGCTGAAATAGGACTGAAAGCCATACAGTGGATCCAATACAATAATATAAGCTTGAAAGTCTTATAATTTGGTTGGATGAAGGGGTGGAATTAGCAGCAGGATGGGTTTGGCATAGTATCTTTTAAAAAGTATCAAGAATATACACAGCATAAGTTTGAAGCACTTACATGAATTTTTAAGGTCATATTTAAAAAAATCTACTTTATAAAAATCAGGGGTGCTCATTCCAAAGAAATCTGTTATATACCAGGCCCTGATTATTACTCTTCTTAATTATTAATTCACCAATGCAGAGAGTAAAACTGTATTTACCTGGGAATTATACTTAAAATATAATCAAAGTATTTTTTCTTTAAAAGCAAACTTATGCTTTAGATTTTAGAGTTGACTGCTCCTGTCAGTATCTTAATCCTCTCTGCCCTCAAGTTGTAAGAGATATGGTATAAACATAAGGAAAAAAGAGTATGAACTAACATGCAGAATCCAGAAAGCCAGAACTGCTGTGTGGAAGGGTCTGCGTTGCTACAGTGGTTGTGGGGAGCGAGGCAACTGGCTTCTTCTCATCTTCTATTGAGTCTTTTGATGCCTCAGACGCCTGTGATGTAGATGAACGTCCAAATCTCGAAAACAACATTCCTCCAAGGCCCTTTCCAATGCTAGCGGCCCCTGCATTTCACAAAACAGGGCAGTCAGTCTGCTGAATTACACCACATACCAAGCTAAACAACACCAGCCACAGTTACAGCCAACTGGCAGAGGAACCAAGCCCTACTCATATTTTTCCAGGGTGGGAACATAGGAAAACTGAAATTTATATTGTTGGTTTCTAAGTAAAAATGGTGTTGAATAGAATGAGAGTTGTACAAAAGGTAGGAATAGAGCTTACCAAAAAAGGAATGAAGATTCTATTTTACTCAAGTGTTCATTGTTTATTAAAGTATTTGGTAAGATTAAAAACCTTAATAACAGAACCATGCCATCGACATGGGTCTATATTTACTACTGATATCCTTTACTACTGAAATTAAGTGAATATTTTACAAAAAGCTATCATAAATAATCTGTATGACAAAGTGAAATATCAATGAAAAGCCTATTTATAGTGCCATCTTGTGGCATTTTATATTAAGAAAACCCAGAACCAACGGACTAATTCAAGTGGCACATAATTGAGCTCCAGCTCTATACCAACAAACACTGTGGCTGGTGATCATTTAAAGAGAAATTAAATAACCTGTTTGCCCCTAGGATGGATGCGGTTTGAGAGACACGAATCAGAGAATGGGTTGGCAGGGGCATCCTTAGAACTCACATATTCCCTCATTTTACAGATGAAGCAGACCATTAAAAATGATGTGACTTGGGGAGCCTGGGTGGCTCAGTGGGTTAAAGCCTCTGACTTTGGCTCAGGTCATGATCTCAGGGTCCTGGGATCGAGCCCCACATCGGGCTCTCTGCTTGGCGGAGAGCCTGCTTCCTCCTCTCTCTCTTTGCCTGCCTCTCTGCCTACTTGTGAAATCTGTCAAATAAATAAATAAAATCTTAAAAAAAAAATGATGTGACTTGGGTGCCTGGGTGGCTCAGTTGGTTAAGCAATTGTCTTCGGCTCAGGTCGTGATCCTGGAGGACCAGGATTCAGTCCCCCATTAGGCTTCCAGCTCCGCGGGGAGTCTGCTTTTCCCTCTGACCCTCTCCTCTCTCATGCTCTATCACTGTCTCTCTCTCAAATAAATAAATAAAATCTCTAAAAAAAAAAAAAAAAAAAGTGACTTACCCAAGATCTCACAGTAGGTGGCAGGGCCAAGATTAAAATGAGGGCCTTGATTCCCAGACCTTCTCTTGTCTCTCCAACTACCTCATAGTCTAAAACTACAAGATCTGATTTAATTAGAGAACGTTTAGGGCTTTTGGCTCGTAATATGAACAGAGAGAGGGTAGTTATTTCTAAACACAGGGATTAAATGTTGGATGTTTTATAATACATAGAATATCTTCAAGAACTCCAAATTTAATGCCTATCTAAGAAAGCACTTATATTTACTAATAAGAAATACTTATTAGAAATTACCTAATATACTTGCTTTGCCTATATTTGTTATAGATTCCCCATAGTGCCGGCGGGACAAGACTGGTGAGGTCACAGGGCTTGGTACTGTTGAAATGCCTTCATTCTCTGAAATTGAGGTAGGTTCTTTTGCTGGGTGGAGAAAGCTTGGCTTCATATACTCATAAGGTAGAGGATTGGAAGTATTATACCAGTGGATCTGGACAGGTGAAATGTTGCTGTAGTGTTTCAGTATTAACGGTTCTAATCTATAAGCCTTGAATTTAAAAAAATTCAAAGAAACACAACATTAAGGTGCAATGTTTGGATTTTACTAAACTGTTTATTCTTATTCTATTGCATGCTCAGCAGACCTTAGGGAATTAAAAAAAAAAAACCCTGGTATTTCTAACATGCATTCCTATTTGTTTACTGTTAATAATATGTAATTGGTCTAATTATATATCTTTAATGAGATTATTAAAAAACCAATTAGCACTGGTCTAAGCTAACAGTGCCCATTAATTTGTTTTTTAGAGAAACAGATTCATTTTATGATGTTCTGATATCATCTAACAATTAGATTTATGTTAGTCTCACCAACAAAGCTGAAGCAGTAAACTAGAACACAATAAATAGGGTCAATCTATAATATAATCTTATAATCTCTCTATATATAGATTTATATTTATCTATAATATGTATCTATAAGTCTATAAATATAATTTATAATATAATCTTAGGAGCTCTTAGTAAGATCTAAATTTTCAAACAGATTAACATAATAACACAAATTAGATGCTGATACAAGACCATTTGTCTAATGTGAGGAAAGGATGACAGAGCAGAAAAGGCAATGAATGGATTTGGCCAATTAGAATTAGAATTCCCCAAGTTCACATTCTGGCCTCTGTTGTTTATTAACTGTGTAACACCCACCAAATTGTAAGGTCTCAGAGATACCATTTCCTGAGCTATAGGAAGGAGATTAACTTTTCCTGCCTCACAAGGACGTTGGGAAGAACAGATAATGTTTGTAAATACTGCCTAGCACAGTTCTAACATAAACTTTGTTAAAAAAAAAAATTTACTTTAAAAAATCACAGGAAAACTGTAAAATGAATAATAAAAATAACCTAAAATAATACAGTGACTTTGGAGCACCCCTTTATAATATAACAAAGTTAAGATTATATCCAGAAAAGTGTATACAATGAAAACTCAGAGTTCCCCTATGAACTCAAGTTCACATTCAAGTTATAAGGCAATGAGTAAAATGAATGTATATTAATGAAATACTTAATGTCTAGCTGGGAGTTTTCACATACGTTTTACTTAATACTAACAACCTTATGAAGTAAAATATTATCATCTGCATCCTACAGATAACGAAGAGTCGTCTCAGGAGAGACTTGGGCAAGATTGTGCAGTCTGTATTTTAATGTAATACTAGTTTCCAACTCAGGTGAAATTTATTTCATAAATATAGTGTTTTTGATTCTTTAGCATACAGGACATTTTCTGAAACTCTTGTATTTAATCAATGCTATATTTACTTGGTACTAAAGATCTTTTAGAAGACAAAGCTATTTTTCTGAGAAAGAATGCTATTTAAAATGGTTTGTTTTACATTTAGTTATACCTAGCCTTGTCCCAAAAGGATTTAAGGAAGCATTTTTCTCACCTAAAAATCTTACTTGGTATTAAATGGTCTAGCTGGATGCAAGATCACTGGAATGCTTACATTAAAAAATTATTAATAGTACAAATATAACAAGAGAAAAACCTCAAATTTTATAATCCCATCAGGCTAAAATAACTTCATTCCTTTATTCATGCTTAACATAATATTCAAATATTTTCATTTCTAAGGTGACCTACTAGACACATTTCAATATTGAAGCATGCTTTAGAGAAAGAAGACCTTAGAGTGGGTTTTAAAATTTATGCTTGTTGGGTTACTGGTATCACAACTGATAATGGCTTGACAGTCGAGAAGACTGCTGTTCCAGGAATTAATTGTCCAGAGATAATATTTTTCATTATGCTCTTACACTATAGCATAAACACATCATCTCTACCTAAATTAACCAAAACACAAACATCTTAAAAATATGAACCTATGAAAATATAATCAGATAAATGAATTCATTTCTCATTAGTTCAGTTGTACCTTGCAATATTTCTTAGAGGGTCTTTAAGAATGATTTAATATTGAGAGGAAAAACATCTACAACTGCAACTCACCACTGGATCTGTTGGATGAAAAATATTTAGTAACCGGTTACAAATTTCTCTGGGCAAAATATGGTCTTGACTTCCAGTGTTTCCTGGGCGGATGCCACGCAATGCCAAGAAAACTGCTAGTGGAGATCCCATGCAGAAGAAATTCTCAACCTAAAATGATAGTTATCTTAAATTTTAAAACCGGTGAAGGGTTTTTCAGCAGAATTTGGACACAACATAATACATAGTAAAAATGTGAATAATAAAATTATCGTCAAATAGAAGTCTTCTTTTCACGAGCTTGGTTCAGATGGCATCTGCAATTATTTGTTAATTATATGCCAACCATTAATTATTCTAAAAATCTATTTTCAGAAGCAACCTTCATTTTTCTTAACTCAAATAGAAAACAATGAATGAGAAGGAGGAGGAAGACCTTCAGCTTCTTAGCTTCACTGAGCTACTGTTTTGGGTAATATTCTAGGTTCTGTGAAGTCTATGGAGACCACTGTGTAGAGCTTCTGGGCTCAGAGTTTACAACCCTGCGCGGGAGGCAGAAAAAACAAATGAAGAGAGGGAAAGATTGCTATAAGAGAGTAAAGAAAGGAATAATTCCAACTCTGAGGGTGTTTATACAGGAAGAAGCATTTCCCCCCACACACTGTGTGAAGTTTTTTTTCTTTTAATTGCAGTGTAAAGAACAGTGTTTATTAGTTTCAGGTTTATAGTATAGTGATTCAACAACTCTGAACATTACTCAGAGCTCGTTACAGTAAGTGTCTTCTTAATCCCCTTCACCTAGTTCACCCATACCCCCTGCCCCCACCTCTCCTCTGGCAACTACCAATTATTTCTCTGTATTTAAGAGTCTATTTGTCTTTTTGTCAATTTGTTTTGTTGAATTCCACAAATGAATGAAATCATAATGGTATCTGTCTTTCTCTGACTGACTTGTTTCACACAGCATTATATCCACGAGATCCATTCATGTTGCTGTAAAAGGCAAGATTTCATTCTTTTTTATGGCTAATATTCCATGGTGTGTGTGTGTATATCTATCTATATATCTGTATATATATCTATATGCATATAGATATATGTATCACATCTTCATCCATTCATCTATTGATGGACATTCACGTTTCTTCCATTATTTGTTTATTGTAAATAATGCTGCAGTAAACATAGCGCTGCGTATCTTTTCAAATTAGTGTTTCTGTATTCTTTGGGTCTGTACCCAGTAGTGGAATTACTGGATTGTACGGTAATTCTATTTTTAATATTTTGAAGAACCTCCATACTGTCTTCCATAGTGGCTGCACCAGTTTGCATTCCTACCAACAGTCCATGATGGTTCCTTTTTCTCCATATCCTCACCCACACTTGCTGTTTCTTATGTTGTTAATTTTAGCCTTTCTGACAGGTGTGAGATGGTATCTCATTGAGGTTTTGATTTGCATTTCCCGGGTAGGGAGTGATGTGGAGCACTTTTTCATGTGTCTGTGGGCTATCTGTATGTCTTTTTTGGAGAAATGTCTGTTCATGTCTTCTACAGAGGAGGAAGCATTCACCTTGGCGATAAAAGGTAAAAAGGATTTCTGCATTTGGAGCTGCATCATTGGGGCCAGAAAGGACATTTGAGATTGACAGAATCACTGTGAACTAAAGCAGAGGCAGGAGAAAATCTGGCTCAATTTAGAAAATAGAAGTAGTTGGACAGAGTTGAAAAATTGCATGTCAGGAAAATGTAACTTGGAATGAGAATGTATGGAACCTTGACTATTTGACTAAAAAAAGTAGGACTTAATTGATTTTGTAGGTATTAAAGAAAAACAGGATTTGACCCATGTTTTAGGAGATTAGTAAACCTGGTAGTATTGTGTGGATGAACTGGAAAACAGAGTCTGATGACTCAGAGACGAGTTAGGAAACTACTCAAAGTGCTTAGGCAAAAGATAATTTGAACTGGGCCAGGACAAGATGTTCCATTCAGAAATGGAAATGGGAGGGGAGAGGGTGCAATCGACATGACTGAATGGAGATGGGGATGAGGAATGAGTCAGCAGCAAGTTACAAGCTTTGGGTCTGGCTGACTGGGAAGACAGTGGTTCCATTTACTGTAACAGGAAACTCTAGGTAGTCCTGCTTTTGTTCATATTAAGTCTGAAGTATCTGTAACATATCTAATAGGCAGAAATTTTAGAGTAAGAGATGTAGAGTTGGATATGTCCTCTCCCAAGTCTAGGTGTCACCATTACAGAAGTGACATGTAAAGCCAGAGAAGGGGTAAGATGGCTTAGGAACTGCACAGAGTAAGAAAGGGCTTTAGCTGGAAATAGGAGCAATGTCTACATTTGATTAGCAGGGGAAGGAGACTACAAAAGGGAGAGTGGAAAGAAAAGGAGAACCAGGATAATGCATTATACATGGAAGCCATGGGAGAGGGCTTCTAGAAAATTAGTGTGGTCAGCAGCACTGGATTATATACAGAATGTGACACCTCTTCCTCCTAAAGTCACCCTACATCTCTCATATGTCCCATTACCCTGATGCATGACACTCCCAATTCTCTCCTTCCCAACATCAAAGAAGTTATTCTAACAGACTCTAACACTTCTCCTCATGGCCTCCAATCTGGACTGCACTGTAACTATACTGTAACTAACTTGTTCTGGCACCAATTTTATGTACCTTTTATCTCCCCCCACCCCCACCACATCTGAAATGATTCCTCTTTTTTCCCAAATGAATCAATATTTATTTTGAAAATGGTACTTTTATGTTAAAGAATGTATGAGAAAGTTTTTGTTTTTAAAGGACTGGGTAACATCAACATGTCTGAGGGCTGAAGAAAATTAACTTCTCAATTAAAATTATAGGAAAAAGCATTTGAAATAGTGACACAGATGAAAACATTAATTTTGAAAGGATTAAGATAATTAAGAAAGGATAAAGATAAGAAAATAGTTGAGATAGAAGCTATGTAAATCCTTTTTTTTCTCTTATTCTCTCTCTCTTTGTAAATCCTTCTGCTATTTGATAGACACATGTACATACACACACGGCCTAGCAAAATGCTTTATCCTTTGGTCAGGCGTTTCATAAATGTTTGTAAAATTGCTAAATCCCTGGAATTAATAACTTTTCTTTATGATTGGTATGCAGGTCACAGACAAACACACCAAGTAATTATTCTAGGGGTAATGACTGCCTTAGTGAGATCTACATCCATCAAAGAACTTCAAAGGTGAAAAAGAGCTTCAGACATCTAGTCTAACCTCCGTGTCCATAGAGGAGCAAACAGATGAATTTGAGATTTTAAATGATTTGGCTGACATTACATAACCAGTTAGCAGCAAAGCTTCATGATCAGAAACAAAGTTTCCCACTCTCCAGACCAGTATTTTTCAAGTTTGTTTAAGTTCAGTGGTCACCTATAACAATTTTAATACCTGTATTCTGAAAGTAAATCCATCTACTCTGTTCCTCTTAGATCTCTGAAGTCCTAAATATTTGCCAGTTCATCAGATATTCCTTTTTAAATTTCAGATTTCTGTATTTTTTTCTCTATGAGTAATTAAATAACAATTAAAAATCCATATTACTAGATGACATGACTATGTTTTAGGAGAATACACGGTTAGTGTATAAGTTCTAAAAATATGGTATTAAATTTTGAGAACCAGGATATACTTGGTGGATCATACTCAACTCTCTAGTAAAAAACCCAGGACTTGAAATACAAGAGTTAACTTTTTCTATTAGATCAATTCTACATATTCAACACATTGGTCATATAATAATGGTGGTAGAGATGGAACTCAAATTCCAGGTGATGAGTCCAAAGACCATGCTCATACGGTTTTTAAATATAATTTTACCATGTGGCTTTTAAATGTGTTAAGTTTAAAAAGAAAACATTGTAAGTCATAGAGACATGCTCAGTAAGAAAATTCTTACTGCTTTAAAAAAAATGTCTACATTATTTCACTTAACCTGGATACTAAGTTCCTGTAATAAAGAGATTTCAATATAATACACTATCCCTGGGTATATATTCAAAAGCAAATGAATATTAGGGAAGTTATGCCATGCTCCATTTAACATTGCAAACAAGTTCTCTTATTCAGTTATAGACTGTGTCCTTTCCAACAGTCAGGTCAATGTCCACATCTCTGTCATTCTTTATTCTTCTAAACCACTGCTTTCAACAGCTCCATTCTGAAGCTCAAGAACCCTGAAAAGTTTCCCACTGTCCAGTGAAATATAAGTTCTTCATTTCTGGCTTTTCCTGTAAACCACAGCCCACTGCCCGATCCTATGCATTCTAGCTAAACTGTTTTGCCTGCCCCAAACTAACCACATACATCCCCATCTTTTGTTTTTGTCATACACTGCTCATTGAGTGAAATGCCAGTTCTCCAGCCCTAAAATCGCCACTGATTATACTTCTGCTTATTTTTCTTATCAGTCACAACTAGCTGGTTACTAAGGCTTATTAATTCTAAATACTAAATATTTCCCAAATCTCTTTCTCTTTTCACTATTTGAGATTATCTCATGTTTCATGAGGTACTATGAAGTCATACTCCACCACACCTTTGTTATGCCGTTTCTTTTACACGGAATAGCAATTCTCCTTTCCTCCACTCGGCAAGATCCAATTTACTGAGATCAAGTACAAATGTCATTCCTCTGCAAACCTTTCCAGGCAAAATTAAAACCCCTCTCTCGTGTATGTATCGTTCTATACACTGCTAATAGTACCAATAACACTGTGTTACAGATCCTGAGGGTTGGGAACCATCTTGTCCATTCTTTTCCTTGTAGAACCCCCAAATTAGCAATGTCCAACACACTGTATGTGCTCAATATACTCATTTGAAAGAAAAATTCAGATCTCACTTGAATGCTAATATCATGCTTCAAATGATGTTTGAAAAGAAACTGAGATAAATAATGAAAATCTCATCTCTCTTTCCTTACCTTAAATTTTAAGGCAGGTGTTTGTGTCATGGATGATGCCTTCAACCCATGTAGCCGTTCTTCTATTTCTCTCAGCCTAGAAAGCAGTATGAAATTATGAATGCATATTTATACTTATAATTTCATAAATATTAGATGCTCACTAGTTCACTCAAGAAAATGATGGCCCATTATCCAGTTCCTCAAATTAATCCCTATTGACAGTATTTAATAAATGCACCTGCTGTGGTCTATAAATGGTTATAAAATGATTAGTGAAACTAGCCCTACTCTTCATAATAGCTGCTGTTAGTAGCTTTTTGGGAGGATCCTTCAGAAAAACGTGAGGCAAATACAAGCATATATACATCTTAAAAAAAAAAAAAAACCACACTGAATGCTCATACCATATACACTATTCTATGCCTTTTTTTCTACATTTAATAATGAATCTTGGAGGTCTTTTCATTTCATTGCCTCCTGATCTACTTCAGTCTTGTAACAGCTGTGTAATTGTCCTTCAAACAAATCAACCACAGTTTATTAATACTCTGCTGATGAACATTTGGGTTATTTTAATTTTTCCCCATTATAATGTTCTATATCTACTTACAATTAATAAAGAACAGAACCAAATTTTATTTTAAAGGTGCAGTTCACTTTCTAAACTTTTTTTTTTTTAGATTATTTATTTATTTATTTGACAGACAGAAATCACAAGTAGGCAGAGAGGCAGGTAGAGAGAGAGGAGGAAGTAGTCTCCCCGCTGAGCAGAGAGTCATGATGCGGGGCTCGATCCCAGGACCCTGGGATCATGACCTGAGCCAAAGGCAGAGGCTTTAACCCACTGAGCCACCCAGGTGCCCCTAAACTTTTTTTTTACTGGATTTTTTTTTTTTTTTAAATCTCAAATGCTGCTCTGGGCTTGGCTTTTATTTTCTTTCAAAACTATCAATTATTTTGACACTACAAAATTTACATATCTAGCCTATGGTATTTAATAATATTATAAATGAAATCCTTAGACAACTTCTATAAGACTAAAACAAATCCAAGGCTTCTGGAATAAAAGTTTTAGTCAACTAAACTCTTTGTTTTTATATGATGCTAATTATCAAAATCAGTGGCTTTTCACTGCTCCACTAGAATTGATGAGATGCATTAAGAGGACAAAGAAGAGCAGAGCATGTAACTAACTATAGAAGAAGATAGGAATGTGTTAAAGAATTATAAGATAGTATCAGGAAGGCCACAAGTGATCAAGTAACTGTAAATCTGTGAAAAAAGTTATTTGTCAAGGAAAAAAAGAGTTTTAAAATTATTTTCAGAATAATAAGACAAAGGTCCATCTCTAAGATTTGTAAGAACTACAAAGGATTATAAACTGGTAAACACTTTAGATAAGGATTCTGTGTGGTGACTCAGCTTGGAATAAGTTTTAGATTTCACTCCTAATAAATTGAAGAAGAGATGGAAGGAAAAAGTAGATGGTGACCAAACAACTTATTTTGTGCTACTGGAACACACATGAATTAACATGAAAATTAACAAAACAGTCTCTAGCTGGTCAGGCGTGTTCTCTAATAATCTTCGCACTCCGAATAATATATTTTTCTTTATCATGAAAATCTTACAGTGCTCTCATAAGAAGTCGAGTAATTTCCCAAAGACTTAAAATGCTTTGCAGAGACTAGGTATTTTACCGTCGTTTTGTTATATAGAGTTCATCCAGCAGATGTCGCTCTTCATAGCTCATCCACCGTTCATCTGGCAACTCTTCTTCCTTCTGCAGCAACTGTTCATAGAGCCGAACCGGATTCCAGCCAGTCATTATGTCATAAGTGATTACACATCCCAAAGAATGTGACACTATTGAGACTTTACCCCCTTTTTCTTCAAAGTCTGGATTCCGAGAACAGAAAAGGGAATATAATCGATTCAGCTCTTGCTGAAGGCCTTTAACTAGCTGTTTGAAATAAGAAAACATTATCATATTAGAGTAGTCACTGACTTTGCTGTAGACTTTATCTCTAAACTCAAATATATTAGGAAAGAAAAACAGACATTACTGGCCAAATATGTCTAGGTCATTAAAATTAATTCAGGTGCTTTAAAACCTTGCAGAAAATGAAGAAAAGTATGCATAATGTGTAATCCATCTCATCACTAAAGAATAAAGGCAGATATACCCACCTGGAACTTTTCACAGTCCTTATACCAACTATATGAACCAGCAGTTTCATAGATTAAAAACAAAAAGTTCCATGCAGATTCCCATATGTTTTCCAAAGAGACCCTTAAAATTTTTTCTTCACTGCAACCTACTCATATGCTACTCTAAATTTTTATACCTTGTAGTTTTAAGGTATAGTGTATTTTAGATAAAGAATTTATCTAAGTTTATGCCAATAGATGTGCCAACATACATACTATTTCATTATGCATTTAGATAAGAGTAATGTAAAGGCCATCGTATGATTGAAAAAAAGCTAATGTTGATCTACTTGATATTCCAACATTCCTATTAAGTTGGCAGTATGGATATGAGTAAAAAGTTATTTTATGTGGCTGCTAAGCGGGGCTTTTTAAGGTGTAAGGTGGGAAGTATCTTAGTCATTTTTCTTTGCAAAATTGCTTCCTTTGAAATTTAGCTTTAACAAATATTAACTGAAATATTCCATAAGGTCAGAAAAATGTTTGTTACCCAGCCCATACTGGGTCCTGACCTGAGTTTTAAGGCAGTCCTTGCCTCTTCTTTTCATCGCTTACTACTATTTGAGTATAAATTTCCTGCTTGATACTAACTGAATTCCTCATTTCAATACTTCTTAATATGCCTATCTACAATTACGTGTTACTTCTATTTTTGGTCTTGTTATTCTATCTCAAGAGTTAACTAGGCTCCACTAGATTTTACTGAACATTTCTACCTCTGACATTAACTGAAAATCATTTGGGCATCCATGCTTGGCAGGATTAGCAGTGACATGAATGAAGGCAAGGTGCTCTCTCATGATTGCTGGCATCACAGACTCTACAGTGCAATACGGAGGTCTGCTTAAGCTACTGAAAGCTTGTGTTGGGTCTGATGACATATTCATCCAATGAAGGAAGAGGAGGATAGGAAGAGCTGCTAGCATGTGGAAGGGTGATAAGCTGCCTTTTTTTCTAGGGAGAAATGGAAATGTTTTACTTTAATTGGACATTTCAATTTTTTTCTTGGGAAAAGCCAACTCAAATTTTCAAAGTGCATCAGAATCACATGGAGGGCTTATGAAGGACAGATTGCTAGGCTCCAATCCAGACTGTCTGATTCAGCAGTTCTGTGTACCGCATTTTAGGAACTACTATACTGCCTTAGTGGCAAATGCATATAAAAACCTTCTAAGACATGGGTTGTAGATAATTACAGTCAATATAGTTTAAAGAGTATGCACCGTGATATGAATATTATAGGGCTCTGTTCAAAGGGAGCTATAGTGTAGTGCTTTGGACTTAGCTTTGAGAAGATTATCAGGAAACCCTTAAAATTTGTAATTTTCTTGATTTATAGTCTACATGAAAGGAAGTCCAGAAAAAGCTAATGTATAGTCAAGATAAATTCCTTCAAAAGCAACATTTGTTAACAGCTTTACTTTTGAAGTCCTTGATTTTAAGACACACCATGTAAATCTAGACACACTAAAAGACAAACACTTAAGTACTCTGGCAAAAGGTATCGAATCTTTTGTTTTAAAATACCACCTTCCCCATAAAAATTTAAAAATTAAAAAAAGGGGAAAGATCTACCAGCATCTCTACCAGTGATTAACCTATCTCATATAAAAAACTTTAAAAGCATTTCTCACTATACCCAATACTTCATTAATCATATATGGATAACAAAACAAGGATAAATATCCAAGACAGAGAAAGTCTATTTGATGTTAAAATATTTCACCATGGAATGAATACACAGAATGCACAGTTTCTGAAGAGCTGATGCTTTCATTTGTTTTAATAATTGTATACTTGAATAGAAGTGGTCTTCATGTTTCCTTATTAGAACATATCTAGATATGGTAGCATTTTTAATCTTTGCCCATATATATACAGGAATGTTTGTGTTCCAAAACATTATGATCTTGAAAGCCAAGTTTAAACAGTTGTATACAACCTTAGGATGGATAAACCATCCAGTCAGCAGCAAAAGGAGAACTCTATCTCTATTTTGTGTCCATAAAGTCAACACTATTTAGGGTTTTTTCTCCTTCTCTTCACTGATCCAATTATATATATACATATTTTTTTTCCAATTATATTCTTCCAGCTATGATCCCTTTGTGACCAAGTATATTCTTTTGAGATATATGAACCACGATTAATGATATACCACCCTGTGATATTAATTTATTAATTCTACAATATTATCTAATCAACCTCTTACATGGTAGGTAACTGATGGGTTTTCAGAAGCTTAAGAGTTTTTAATTTTCATATCTGCTTAGAAGTTAAAATTTATGAAGAAAATCAACTGAAAAGGAAAAAGTCATCAGTTTCAAGAGAGAATCCAAACTGACAAAGTATGGCTAAAGAATATAATTAGTCCTTTGTCCTTCTCTCTGCTTTAGGAAATTTTAATGAGAAAAAGTAATTTACAGAGTTTTAGTCATATGCAGCAGTTGAATGACTTTCAAGTAAAAATAACAAGAGATGGCCATGACCATTCTCTTTAAAATTCTTTATTTTTAAAAGTCATTGAAAAGAGAGTTCAGATGTACAAGATATACAGTTCTCTCTGGATTTTTCATGTTACTTTATTTAGGGTTAAAAGTCAGGGCCGAAGAGTCTCTGATGAGGTCTCTGTAGTCTGGATTAGTTTCCTTTTTTGAAAAAGGACTTTCCTTGGAAAGTATGACCTGAGAAACACTAAAAGTTTTCCCTTAACTATGGCTTTTTAATGATTATTGGCACAATCACTAATTAGGGTCCTCCCATGAGCATTTCACAATTTCCAGTGAAAGGGGAACTAAGAGATGATCTAATTAAACTGCTGTGAAGGCAGGAGTATCTTCATTGGCATCCTGGTAAGTTGCTCAGCATCTACCCCAGTGAGTATCTCCACTCTAAGGTGGACACTTACAGTTTTTGCAAATTTTTTCCAGTTTATTATGCTATAATTGACACATAACATTGTATAAGTTTAAGGTGCACAACATAATGATTTGATATATGTATAAATTGTGAAATGATCACTACAAATAAGTTTAGTTAAAATACATCACATTATTTACAATTTTTTTCCCTTGAGACATTTCTATTTTTTTTTAAGGCAGCTTTAGTTACTTACAAAGTTCTTCATTAGTAAACAAACATGTTCCTTTCCATATTTTCTATCACTGATCCTTATTCACTTCCTAGAGTTAACAGAATAAGTCTATTTCTTTTTTTTTCTTAAATGGGAGCCCTTGGAATACATAAAGACAGATAATTAATCACAACTGGAGAATCTAAGGATGAGGAATTGTACTGGGAACTTTATGTACATTACATCTTTATTCCTCATGACAACTTTATCAGTAGGTATGTTGTGTTCATTTTATAAGCAAGGAAGCTGAGAAAGTGAGAAATTTGGTCTCAGGTCACACAGCTAGTTAAGTGACAGGTTTTGAATGGCATCTATTTTAACTGAGAGGACGGAAAAAAGACTCTTTCATATGCCTATTGAGTAAACTAAATAAGGTTCATTCACCGGGCATGATATAATTCTCTAAAGAACTCCTGATTGCTGTTATTTATCACTACTTCCTTAAGGAAACATATACAGTTTAAAAAATAATTTAACCTAGGGGCGCCTTGGTGGCTCAGATGGTTGGGCATCTGCCTTTGGCTCAGGTCATGATTTCAGGGTCCTGGGATCCAGCCCCATATCAGGCTCCCTGCTCAGTGGAGAGCCTGCTTCTCCCTCTCCCCTTGCTTGTGCTCTGTCAAATAAATAAAATCTTTAAAAAGAAAAAAAAAATTTAATCTAGAATTCTAGCTAACATCAACCCTGTGCTAAATGGTTTGATTTGAAGAATCAGCTTTCCTTTCTTAACATTAAGAACAATTTCTGCTTGCTTCTCACTAAGTTTTCTTTTGTTTCTTCACAGTATTTCCCTAATGGTATCACCTGGGGAACTGTTAAAAAACACAAATTCACAGGTTCTACCTCAGACCCACTGAATCAGAATCTCCAGAGAGGAGACCTTGGAAACCATTTTTTTCATTCCTTCTCTTAACCTTTTACCTGGAAATAATTTCTAATTAATAAAATGTTGCAACCCCCCCCAAACCAAAAACCAAACAAAAAAACACAACTCTTCAAAGATCATCCACATATCCTTTCTCAAAGGTTTATCCATTGTTAGCATTTTATCATTCCTTCTGTTTCTGTAGCACACACACCACCCATGTACATTTTTTTTTGTGAACCATTTGAGGATATATTACATACATCATCGTCCTTTATCCCCTAAATACTCCAGTATTTACTTCCTAAGACTAGGAATATTCTCTTCCTTACTAATAGTGTAGTAATCGACTTCATAAATTTACTTTGACATAACATTTCATTTAATCTGATCTACCATCCACCTTTTGTCAGATGATTTAATATCCTTGGTAGCACTTCCCCCCATCCAGGACAAGTTATGGTCTAGGATGAGATGTATTGAGCTATTGTATCTCTTTAGCCTTTAATCTGGCACATTCTCCACAGCCATTCTTCATCTTTCACAATATTTACATTTTAAAAGAACATAGTCTCATTCTTACTTTATTTGAACTTCCTCATTCTATGTTTGCTTGATGTTTCCTAATGACTGGAGTACTGCATAAATGATGTTGTGTCCTCTGAGTGTCCCTCTCAACACCCAGTAAAGGTGCTGTCTAATTTCTCCACTCTATGCCTGTTCTTTAACTAATATGCAGTGAGGATATACTTTAAGACTATTCAAATATCTTGTTCCTCATCAAAATAAGGCCCTCAATGAAGCATTCATTGACGAATCTTGCCCAAGCCTCTTTACCTTATCTTACCACGACAGCTGCAAAATGAGGATTTTCCTCTAGCATTCCTCCCACGTTTTTCAGAAACCCCGTTGCATTTATGGTGGGCACAGTAGCTTTCTCCCTCATTGTTTATCTATGTGTAATTGATTCGGATTATGAATTTTTTAGTGATTTTATAACTTCTTATATTATCCTTATTATAATTCTATATTAAAACAACTACTACTAATTCCTTATAAGTAATAATAATTACTTGATTATTTTGGTGCTCAAATTGTTCCAGCTTTGGCCAGTGGGATCTGCTTCTTTAATTTGGCTCCTATGTCCTTGTGACCCGCTCCATGATTCTTCCAAGCATTTTCCTACTTTCTGTCATGACAAGTTGGTTCTAGCTTTGATCTGTATCTATCCTACTCCAGGCCTGGAATCAGCCATTTTCCCAAGGAAACCTAGTTCTTCTTAGAAGGTAATAGTAGTACAGGAGAAAAAGATGCCGGTGCTAGGTGTGCTCATTAGATTGGGGTATCCTCGCTTCTTGGCCCTTTTAATGCACACGGGTGGGAAATATATGCACGCATATATACACATATACATTTAATATATAGCTATCTATACACACATATTTTCAAAATCATGAATTCATATTTATGAGACCTTTAATTCCAATAACCCCCTTGAGACCGTTTTTTTGGCCTGTATTTTTAATGAGTACTCCAAGTAATTGTTCTAGTTAAGGATGTCTGGGAAATGTTGCTCAAGAATGAAGACAAATCTCAGCCACAAGTTCTCTGGTGCTTTTCCACAAAATTCAACTGGATTAAAAGACAAACTAATTTAAAACGCTTGGTGTTCTTGGGGCACCTGGGTGGTTTAGTTGGTTAAGTAGCCCAGGTCATGATCTCCGGGTCCTGGGATGGCTGCATTAGGCTCCCTGCTCAGTGGGGAGCTGGGGAGCCTGCTTCTCCCTCTCCGTGTCCTAACCACTGTACATGTGGGCTTGCTCTCTCAAATAAATGAATAAAATCTTGAAAAAAAAACAACAACAAACCACTCTGGGTGTTCTCTGTTTCATTTATCTTAGTTATCAGTTTCTTCTTTCACCTGAATATCTGTTTTATTCAATTCCATTCTGAAGATAATTATTTTTGGAGATAAAAGAGTAAAATAGAAAGTGACTACTTTCTCAGTCATCACTAGCCAATGGTCAGAGCTTTGAGTCTGATACTTTTCTCTTTCTAGTTTTTCCTGTTATAAATGTCAACTTAAAACTTTTTTTTAAAAAGCTCTTAATATTAGTTTTGGGGGACAGGCCTCAGAACATTTTACCCTTAAACATTCAGGATACCTTCTTAGGAAACCTACCAACCATATACCTGTGTGTGTGTATAAGGTATACTTATGCTTTATGAGGGTGTGTGTGTGTGTATATGTTATATGCTCTCAGCCATTCTCTTTTTTTTCCCCTTACTGGTTTCACCTGAAATACTATAGTTCAATTTCCTAACCTTAAGGGCCAACAATGGGTATGAACATATCCAACAATGGATACGAACATGTAAATTATCAGTATTTTACTTCATGAACCAGGCTTTCCTTGTTGGGTTAGAATGAGGTCTTGTATAGTTTCTTTTTACTGTTTATTATACTTTCTTTTACTGCTATCAAGCAGATCAAGGCAGACTTTGCCCCAGACTGGGACATGACAATGAGGGGATATAGAAAGAGGAATGGTGAAAAATCCTGAGGGGATGGCAGCCCAAAGAGAAGGCTGTTCTGTGGCACTTAACCTAACATATTTTTGTAGATATACAAGGGATATCATGAGTGAAGTCAGGGATGACTCTGAACGAAAAAATCAGAAATGAACTGGCATGGAGAAGTGCAGAGCAGCTCTACTGGTAACTACTCCCTCACCAGTTTCTTCATCTTTTGAGTGAGAATACTAAGTATACCTATTTCATAGGGTTTTTATGAGCATTAGGCAAGCTAACACATGCTAGGTAATTAATAAGGTTATTCCTATGAAACAGAATTCTTTTTTTCTTACCAATAAAGTGACAAAATGTATTCAGTGGAGAGTCCCTCATCCCTCTGAATAAATTTTTACCCTTACCCCAGGGTTATTTTTGTGATGCATCAGCAACATTACTATTTAAGGACAAATTTATGACAGAAATGACACAATAAAAGCAAGTCTATTACAAACAAAAAACTTGAAGGAAATTTCTTAAGTGTCTAAAACTTTTTCATGAGGACAATAATTACAGTCATAATTAATAAGATTTATGAAAACTGGTATTTTTCAAAGAGCTGTTTTCTTTTTTAAAAGATTTTATTTATTTGACAGAGAAAGAAAGCACAAGCAGGGGGAGCAGCAGAGGGAGAGGGAGAAGCAGGCTCCCCGTGGAGCAGGGAGCCCAGTATGGGGTTCGATCCCAGGACGCTGGGATCATGATCTGAGCCAAAGGCAGACACTTAAACGACTGAGCCACCCAGGCACCCCCAAAGAGCTGTTTTCTAACTAATCTCTGACTTCCAAGATTATCCATTTTATTAAGGGTTTCCCAATGTGTAGTTTGGAGATAATCAAACTTATAATTAAATACAGGCTATTAAGTTAATGGATTCCTGTCAATTCTCAATTGCTTATATAAAAAAAGCGCATGAAAATTTAAAATTCAGGACACATATCACTCTAAAAAATAGCCAACAGCAACAAGATAATCATGATACTTACTTCATCTCTATAAAGTGGGCTAGTATAATACATTATGTCCATTGCACTACTGTTCAGCATATCCCTTAAGCCGCGTACTTTGTCAGGAGTAATGGAATCAACAGTGTCTACAAATTAAAAAAAAAAAAAATTAAACTTACAGAAGATCTTTGTTTAAGCTCATGTTTAAAAATTCAAGAGTGGCTTTGGCTCTAATGAACCTTCCCTTCTTGCAAAATGCTGAAAAAAACAAAAACAGTAGAAGACTAAAGGGGACACAGGAAGAAAAGGAACATTAAGGATGAAAACCATTATCAAATCTATAAAGATTTACTAATTTTTCTTATGTAATGGCTTTTGCATGACATTTAGGGGTACCCAGAGCAAAAGCAGGCCATCTCTGTTCTTGGAACAAGTGTTAAGGGACACAAACTCACTCTTCCTGTACCTCTTTTTCTGTTTCCTTTCTCTTCTTTGGCCTCTGTACCTTAGGCCTGGCAATACCCATGTGGAATGCTCACCGCCACTGGTAGCAAACCAGCAACAAATTAAAAAGCTTCCCTATGCTTTACATACACCTCTCTTTAGTGAACCCAAGATCCTACGGGCAAAAGCTGCAAAATTATAAATACACACAAAGCCAAATCAGCAAAGGTCCTCTACAGTAAACAAGGTCAAGTTGGTATAATTTGCTTTTGAAAAAAGAAAGTCACGTACACTGCACTGCAAACAATTTAGTATTCATGAATTAGAGCTAACCCGTGGAAATTCTATCTTGGGAAGCTTGTTCTCCGAAATGCCTAATGAAATGATCGGAGATAGAGGAAACTTTGCATTTCCCACAGAAATACAAAGAAGCCCTATACTTGGATGAACATCATAAAATGAAAGCACATTTAGGCAGGAGAAGGATTGTATTTTTAGTCTAGTGCAGCTTCTTTTATCTTCCAGTTTTTCACTGTATTGGTTTGTTTTTATTTATTCCCTACTTTAATACAATCTAATAATGACTGGAATAATGACAATCTAATAGTGACAATGATTCAAGCAAAAGCTAGAAGTCCTCTCAACGATGGAAAGGATATGGGTAGCACAACCCATTTTTAAATTGTAAAAGTGAAAGACGTGAATACCATACTGATATGAAGAGTTTCAGTGCATTTTAATGCATTTCCAAAAAAAAGCTTTTACTGTGAAATACACACACATATAAAGAAATTTAATATATATGTGCATCTGAGAGAATAATTTATATATGGGAAAACATGTTTCTGCCATCTAGCGTAAGAATATTGCGAGTTATCTCTGAAACTCACAGTATATCCCCCTAAATGATCACACGCCTCTCCCTAAGTAACCATCAATAAGAAGCTGGAGCTACACTCTTGCTTTACAGGTTTATAAATCTACTATAGGTTCATTAATATTAATAACTTCAGCCAATTCTATAGCATTTACTATGTGACAGAGCCTAAATATTTTATTTCATTTTGTCTGTTTCTGAACACTATGTAAATTGAACTATTTCATTCCCGATAGTGTGCCTCTGAGATTCATTGATGTTGACCCATGTAGCTATAATCCACTCATTTTCACAGCTCTATAGTATTTCATACATGTCTAACAATGTACCCATTTTCCTTTGAAAAGAAGTTGGGTTGTTTTTAGTTTTTTTCTAATATAAACTATGCTAATAACTGTCGCACATGTCTCCTGGTACACATGTATAGGAGTTTCTCTAGGGTATATACATCTAGGAATGAAACTGCTGCGTCATAGGGCACATGCACACTCAACTTTGTAAGAATATAACAAACCACCTTCCAAAGCGATTGTACCAATTCACACTCCCACCAGTAGTCAATGAGAACTGTCAATGCTATACATCCTCACCAATATTTGGTATTGTTACTTTCTTAAATTTTTGCCTGAAAGCTGAAAGGTATTTCATTGTGTTTTTAACTTGCATCTCCTTGATTACTAGGAGAGATGTACATTTTATATTATATGAAAATATATAATTAAAAATGTATATTACAAAACACACACACATATATTGGGGTGCCTGGATGGCTCAGTGGGTTGAGCCTCTGCCTTCAGCTCAGGTTGTGATCCCAGGATCCTGGGATCAAGCCCTGCAAAGGGCTCTCTGCTCGGCGGGGAGCCTGCTTCCTCCTCTCTCTCTGCCTGCCTCTCTGCCTGCTTGTGATCTCTGTCAAATAAATAAATAAAATCGTAAAATACACACACACACACACACACACACATATATATACATTTATGTGTATGTACGTGTCTGCCTATCTATCTCCATTTAAGTTTCCCGCTCTTTATTCTGGATATTAAAGCTTTGGTGGTTATATCTGTTGTTCTGTTGCAAAATCTTCTCTGTTTGTGGCTTGTCTTTCATTTTTTATGTTGTTTATTGAGAAAAAGAAGTTCTTAATTTCAATCTCATTAGACTTACCAATGTTACTTTAGAGTTGTGTTTTTGTGCCATATTTTTTTTTCCTAATATGTTTAAAGTTTTGGCCTATGCATTTGATCTTCTGGAATGTGACGTATGAATCATTTTCACTCCTTCTCCCCCTACAGTAAGTGGTTATCAAGCACCATTTATGGGACAGGCCATCCTTTACCTCAGACTGTAATGTCGGCTTTGTCATACATCAGGTTTCCAAACTAAGCACAGATCTGTTTGAGAGGTCTCTACTCTGGTGCACAGCTCTGTTTGCCTATCCTCATGCCAATCTAAATAGTCTTAAATATAAAAATTGAAAAATAGTCCAGTTATCTACCAGGACATGACACACTCTCCACCCTCCTGTTCTGTATCTTGGCTATTTTTGGGCCTCTGATCTTTCTATAATAATTCTGGGATCAGCTTGTTAAGTTTTATGAAACTCTATTGGGATTTTGATTGGAATTACATGGAATCTATAGATCAGTTTGGGAGAATTAATATCTCTAGATATTGAACCATCTAATGTACAAAAAAGAACTTTCTATATATTTAAAAGTTGTATTGAATATCTTTTTTAAAATTTTAATATAAATATACATATTTTATTAGATTTCTATGAACATTGTATTTTTATGCTATTCTGAATAGTTTGTGCTGGTATACAGAAATGTAGTTATTTTTGCATATAGATATTTTATTTCACAATGTTGTAAACTACCTTATCATTTCTATTAATTTTTCCTTAGATTTTTTTGTTGTATATTCTGCATAGATAACCATAAGACCTGCAAATGAAAACATATCTTTCTCATCCCTTAAAACTATTTCTTTTCCTTATCTCATTATAGTGGTTAAGATATCAAACTGTGTATATGTTGTAAGAGTAGACATCCTTAGCTTGTTCCTAATTTAAAGGAAATGAATTTATCCCTTGAACACTAATGAGGACAATGATGGGTAAATACCTTTTATCAATATTTCTGAATTTACAAACAGTAAAATTCACTCGAGTTTTAATGCATATATGCTTTTGCATAACTACCAGGATAATCAGGATACAGAACTGTTCCATCACCCCCCAAAAATGCCCTTTTAAATTTAAACACTCCCTTAAACCCCTTCCCCATACCTTGCCCTACTTATCTCTTTATCTGGCTTTTCATTGTATCCTTTGTAACACCCTTTTAAATCAGTAAATGTGTTTTAAACTAGTGAATTTTAAACTAGTAAATGCTTCCCTGAGTTTTGTGGGTTACTTTGTGAATCTGGTCAATTATTGAACCTTAGAATGGGGGTCACAGGATCCCCCCTCCTCCAACTTACAGCCAGTCAGTCAGATACAAGTGACAATCTGGAATGTGTGAAGGCATCTGAAGCAGAGGGCAGTCTTTGGGGTCTGAGTCCTGAATCTGACTGCACTCTCTCTGGGGAGTTTGTGACAGAATTGAGTTAAATTGCAAGACACCCAGAATTGAAGAAATGGTTGGTATGGGAAAAAACTTCCATAACTTTTGTTATCAGAAGTGTTGAGAAGAGAAACAGTGGTGTTTTTCCTTTAGTTTCTCTCACTTAACATAATGCCTTGAGAGTCTATCACAGTAGTTTAAACCTGACAGAAAATTACAGGTTCCATTTTATTAAATGTTAGCTCACTCATATTGCCTACATTCTTGAGCAGCCTCAGAAATTTATCTGGGTAAATGGGAAAAGCCCAAAAGATAGTGTTAATTACACTAGAACCTTATATGTGAGCTCCAGCTGCTAAGAAGTCTTCTTCGATCACTAGCAATTTTTTTTTTTTTTTTTTGGAATTCATTACAACTTTGGATACCATTTAGGTTCATAAGCTAAAACTGACATTCCTAACTGACTATAAGATAGAATCACAGGCTTGGAATCATCCTTGGAAATCATCCAGGGAGGCAGGTTAGTGCTGTGATGAACAAGGGCTCTGGTATCATACAGATCTAGATTCTGTCTGCCGTTCTTAGTTAAACTCATTTACCTTTCACTGAGTTTCAGTTTCCTTATCAGTACAACAGAGAAAACAAAGTAGGTATATTTCAAGACATATGAGAAAATTAAATGAGAAAATCCATGCAGAATGAACTATGGAGTGCCAGGCACACAGGAAAAGCCCACAAACAGCAGCTGATGTCAAGTTTAGAACAACGCTTTCATTTTCCAGATTATGCAAATCATCAACTGAAACGTGCATCCTAATGGTTTAAAGATTAAAAAGTCACAACTTTGTGCATATTTTAGCTTATAACTCTTTAAGGAAGCAAACAAAAATGATTTTATTTAAACAAATATATTGTATAATTTCTCTATGTTAGATTATAATTTACCAGCCCAGGGAATGCAGGAACAAAAGAAAACAAAAAACCAGAGATTTTTATCTTCCAAATATAGGAAAAGAAAATTATTAGAAAGAAAATATAAGCTCATATGGAACTGTGGACCACAAATATTTTTAAAGTTGTCAATAAATCACTTTCTGTCAAAAACTTGAGACAATATTTTGTTCCCTCCACATGCTCCTCATCCCCCTTGCCCCGTCCCCTAAGCTATAGAAGGCATGCATGAAAACTGGGCTATCTGTGAAATCTACATGGTGATCTAAATCAACATATGTCAATATAATTATTTTAAAAATCAATCACAGACTCGTACTCCTGAAACAAATATTACATTATATGTTAATAAAAAAAGATAAAAAAATAAAAATCAATGGATTTTCTTAAATAATCTATAACAAAGAGTGACTATATCCCAAGACAACTAAATGAAAGACACTTTGTTCCCACTTTGTTGTCACTGATTAAATCACTTAATTTTTTTTTTTTTTTTAAAGATTTCATTTATCTATTTGACAGACAGAGATCACAAGTAGGCAGAGAGGCAGGCAGAGAAAGAGAGGGAAGCAGGCTATCCGCCGAGTAGAGAGCCCAATGCGGGGCTCGATCCCAGGACCCTGGGATCATGACCCGAGCCGAAGGCAGAGGCTCCAACCCACTGAGCCACCCAGGTGCCCCTAAATCACTTAATTTTTAAACAAACTGTACCTCCATCAAGAGTAAGTTTTGACCGCCACTCAACAGGCAGAAATTCAACATGTGTTGCGTGGTTGGAAAAATGCCTTTCTTCTATTTTTCTTGCAGCTTCTCTCATCCTAAAGAAAACAAAATAAAAACAAAAGAAAACATTATCAAAGTAACTTCTCATATGTACTTATATATAGGTATAAAATGTCTTTAATCATATCACTTTCACTTCTAACTTCATCCTATGTTTCAATCATTGTTACATTATGCAGTAATTTACAATACTAGGAAACCTGAATATTTCCCTAAATTTGTCACCTGTGATTTCAAGTATTACAAGCTTCCACCTTTTATACTAATTATATATACATAAATCTTCAGTAGAGAGGACAATGAATTTCCATCCTTCTGACATCACTCTGCTCCAAATATTAGCAAGTCATGGCCTGTCTAATTTCATCTATTCCTCCACTCGTTCTGTCCATAATATGAATTTTTAAATTTTATTTTTAAAATTAAGATACAGCAGAATTGGGTTCTTTTCCCTTTTGGTGTCAGTTGTATAGATCTGTGGTTAGCACCACAATTAAGATACAGACTAGTTCTATCATCCCCCCAAATTCTCTCACACACAGCCTTTAGAGTAGCACCCTTCCCCTATAATATTTTAAAAGTAAATCCCAGATGTCACATCATTTCACCTATAAATTGTTTTAGTAGCTATTTCTAAAACATAAGGAAAGCATAACCTATTCAGTACTATTATCACACCAAAACTTTTAACAATTTAATTTCAGCAAATATGTAGTTCAGTGGTCCCATTTTCTCAGTTGACTAGAAATGTTATTTTGTAACACAAAATATATTTTTACATTTGTTCGAATTGAGCTCCAAAGAGTCCCCCAGCCTTTAAATGTGGGGATACATTCTAAGACCCTTAGTGGATACCTGAAACTGCAGATAGTACTGAACCCTATCTATATGGTTTTTTCCTACCCATACACACCAATGATAGAGTTTATAAATTAGTCACCGTGAGAGCTTAATAACAATAACTAATAATAGAACACTTATAATTTAATGAAAGTTATATGAATGTGGTCTCTCTCTCAAAATTTTACTGCATTGTACTCATCCTTCTTGTGATGACATGAGATGATAAAATGCCTTTGCGGAGAGATGAAGTGAGGGGAATGATGTAGGCATTGTGACGCAGTGTTAGGCTACTATCACCTGCTTCCAGATGCAGATGACACCAGATAACAGACATCACGGAGAGTGAAACTGCAGATAAGGTGGGGGACTACTGTATGTTTGTGCACTGTAGTTGGTGGATATGTCTCTTATTCATCTCTTAATCTGTAGTTTCCCCTCACTCCTCTTTTGGGGGTGTTGTTTTGTAATTTATTTTTGTCTTGTAGAGTTCATCAGGGTCTTTTTTTTTTTTTTAAAGATTCTATTTATTCATCTGACGGACAGAGATCACAAGTAGGCAGAAAGGCAGCAGAGAGGGGGAAGCAGGCTCCCCGCTGAGCAGAGAGGCCGATGCAGGGCTCCATCCCAGGACTCTGAGATCATGACCTGAGCTGAATGAAGGCAGAGGCTTAACCCACTGAGCCACACAGGTGTCCTTGTTCTGTTACTCTTGATTCATTTTTAAAAAAACTATGTCAGACCAAACTTGCATTCCTGGGATAAATTCCACTTGGTCATAGTGTATAATCTTTACGTGCTGCTGGATTCAGTTCGTTGAGGATTTTTGTGTCCATAAGGAATACTCATTTGTATTCATAAGAGATACTGGTCTATAGGGGTTTTTTGGTTGTTTTGTTTTTTTCTCCTTATGGTAGCCTTTTTTTGGGAAGGAAGCTTTTTTATTATTAATTCAAATGCTTTATTTTTTAAATGGTATGTAGATTGTCTATATCTTCTTACTGATCATCAAATCAGTTTGATAGCAGGTATCTTTCTTGGAATTTGTCCATTTCATCTAGGTTATCTAATTTGTTGGCACAGAATTATACATAGTAATCCCTTATAATCCTTTTGATTTCTGTAAGGTCAGTAATTATGTCCCCTCTTTCATTCCTGATTTTAATAAATTGAATTCTCTCTTTTTTCTTGGTCAGTCTAGCTGCAGGTTTCTTAGTTTTACCGATCTTTTCAAACAGCCACCTCATTGCTTTACGACTGTATAGTTTCCATCACATAAACAGCCATAGTTTATCAACCAGTCTCTTACTGATGCACATTTGGGTAATTTCCCATTACACATAATGCTGCAAAGATGAGCTTTGGGCATACATCTTTAAAAAATATTTTTGCTGGTATTATTCTTGATCCAGAAGTTGTTTGCTGGATCAAAAAATAAATGCATATATAATTTTGACAGACATTCCCACATTCTCTCTTATTCATTGTAGTTTACCAGCAGTTTGAGAATGCCTATCACCTACAGTCTGGCTAAAGGAGAATACTGTCAAATTTTGATTTTTGCTCATCTCATGTCAATAAATGGCATCTTAGTGCAATTTTAATTTACATTTAATGAGCAAGGTTGAGCATTTCCTTTTCGGGGAATTAGCTGTTCACCTCTTTAGGCCATTTTCCTAAAAGGTAGCCAGATATTTTTTCTTTATTTTTTGAAGTTCCCTATATACTAAGGATATTAATTGTTTATCTGTGATATAAGCTGCACATAGTTTCTCTCAGTTTGTCTTATGTTTTTGTCAACATAGCTTTTTTTGGGAAAATATTTATCAATATTTTTCCTTATTGTTTCTGGATCAAGTCATAGTTAGAATAGTTTTCTTTATTCCTAAAGTGTAAAATAATTCAAACTCCCCTCAATTCCACCTTTTAAATGCATAGTATTTGTATGGCTTCATTTCTTACGTTTAAATGTGATCCAATAAAAATTATCTGAGTGTGAGAAATGGACCTAATTTTATTTTTTTTCCCTATGGTTATCTAGCTATACTACTACTATTTGTTAAAAAAGTCTATCTCCATTTCTAATATACTTTAAAAGGCATTATTTACAATATGATTACATTTTATTGATTATATAGCCCCAAAGTTGCCTTTAAAAATGTCTAAATATATTGTAGGTTGCCAAAAGGAAATCTGCTTCCTTTAACAGTACTGAAAATAAATGATAGCCAAAACTTCAGACTTGAATGCATGACCTCCTTCATTACCCACAGAGTCTAAAAGTTCCTTTTTTGTTTTTGTTTTATTTCTTTTACTGCAGATAGTCCAATAAGGGTTATAAGTGCATTTTTAAGTTTCTTTGCCATCTTTTCAAATGTTTAGTTTTAAAAAGTATGAGAATGTACAAGACCATATTTTAAGATTTTTAATATTACTCTACCCACATATTTATGTTTTTTTTTTTATTTTTTTTTAAAGATTTTATTTATTTATTTGACAGAGAAATCAGAAGCAGGCAGAGAGGCAGGCAGAGAGAGAGAGGAGGAAGCAGGCTCCCTGCTGAGCAGAGAGCCCGATGCGGGGCTCGATCCCAGGATTCTGAGATCATGACCTGAGCCGAAGGCAGCGGCTTAACCCACTGAGCCACCCAGGCGCCCCCCCACATATTTATGTTTGATGACTGTATAGTTCTTATGTATTTCATTATGACATAATAATTAGAATTATCTGATCAAATATGTCAAAACTGATAGAGTTGAGGAACCCTGACTGAGCTATAAACTCAGGAAAACACTTCATTTTCATAAAATACTGTCCTTTTCTCTAGTAAACTTCCACAGTCCTCCACTCCACAGGATCACTACCCTAGTTCTCAAATGGTCACATGTGTAGATAATGATTAGGCAAGCAGGTATATCTCTTAAATCACTTGGTTGTAATTAACTGGAATGACTCAAAAAAAGGAAAGAAAAAAAGGATGAAAAAAGATAGTAGGGAATGGAGGAAGGGGAAAAGGAGAAGGAAAGAAGAGAGCTGGGTAGAAGGGAGGAAGGGAGATTGAGAGACTGGTCATGTCCCCAGATTTGCCTTACTAAAAATGGTAAAACATTTCCAAAATGTATAGGTCTTGACTACATGAGAAACACTGAGACCAATGGAGGGTGGAGGAAACAACAAAACAGGAATGCTTGAAAACTATTATGCTATGGCTCAGGCTACAGCCCATGACTGTGAAGCTGTAAGGCCATGCACAAAGCTCTGTCCTTTTATTAAGCTTGTTAAACTTCAGTGTTCTCCTACATGAATGCTTGCTTAGTTGGTATTTTTGAGAAAGGAAAGAAGAGACTAATAGTGCCTGAGAATTACTGTCCAATTAAGTATCATTAAATTACTCTAAAAAAGTCTTTCTAATTCTCCTCAATTAAAAAAAATCAATTGATAAAACAAGTTGGTTTTAAGACATATATAGGAAAGGAGAAAAATAGAAAATCATGAAAGCAATCAACAAGGTACACTCTTTACACAAGAAAGCACGGTCCAGAACTATATATGCCACCTTTGAATGGAAAAAATCTGGATTTGCCTAAAGAAACTTTAGAAGAATATAAAATAAATGAATAACACTGCTTTGAAACACAAGGACAGGGACAATGGGGGATGATGGAGATAAGAATGGGGGTCAGAGTTCTCTGCACACTTTCCTTGATTCGTTAACCATGTGAATGAACTTCCTATTTAAAAAGTAAATTTTGTTGATAATCTTGTTTGCTGTTGTCCTTCCATTTTTTTTCTGTGCTTATGCCTTTTTTCTTTTAAAAATTCCTTTGCTATCATTTTCAGTGACGTTTCAGGAGGGAATAAGATAAGCTTAAGTGTTAAATCTACCATGTTTAATGGAAAGTTGCTTATACTCTTCTAAAATTATAGCTTTAACATTACTTATGGTATTGGTATATAAGTTCAGCAAAGATTTTCCTTGTCATAAATCACCACAAAAAGTAAATCCAATCCAATTCAAATACATTCATCCTTTTTAGTAAACCAGTTCTGATATTCCTAGAAGTTGCCTATAAATTTTCTTCTCAATACACATCAATCACTAAAATAAGGTAAGGGATAAACCTCTAATTCTAGGCTTCTGGAACATGATTTCAAGAGGTCCTCAAAGAACAAAAGGTTGGGTGGAGTCTGGTAATCCTTTACACTTCTTTGTTCATTTCAACTGTGGTCTCACAAATACAAATAAGATTCACAATGGCAGTGACAAAGATGAAGTTAATTTTACTCTTTTTATAGTTTTGGACAATTAACTTAAGAATGGTAGAAAGCAGGGAAAGGATTAAGAAGAGGTCCTCTGGGTTTTCCCACTTATTATTAAGGAGAATTTCTTTGTTTACTTTTTATTATTTATTAATTTATGTGGGGAGTTTTTCATTAAATTAACCTGTCTCTGAAGGAATGATGACAATCTTCTCTGTAACTGATACTTTTTTTTAAAGTTTTTTTTTTTTTTTTTTGAGAGAGAGAGAGAGATCACGAGCAGGAGGGGCAGAGGGACAGGGAGAGAGAGTCCAAGCAGACTCAGTGCTGACTGTAGAGCCCAACATGGGGCTCGATCCTGTGACCCCAAGATTATCACCGGAGTAGAAACTCAACCACCTGTACCACTCTGTTGCCCCAGGAGATTCTTGTCTTTTCTGAGCCACTTTGGATTCATTCATTCTGCTTCCAATACTAGCTCTTGATTTTTATCTATGGCTCTCTCTCTATGATTATGATGAAGACAACTTCCATCTGACTGTGGAAAGATGACAGGTTCAGCAGATCAGACCCTGCATGGCTGCATGTGTAGATTCAGGCATTTGGATGCAACGCCATTGGTCACTGAAATGTCTAGACTAGCCGGGACTTCTGGAAAAAAGGGCTTATTTTTTTTTTTTCTTGAAGTTGAACACAGTATAATAGAAATCATATCTGGAACCAGATGTCCAAGAACAGCTCAAAAATGAAGGAAAGCAGAACAGACAGAAACTGAATTCTGGATTCTCAACCTGGCAAATCTTAGATTTAGACTTCTCAGTTTTATGAACTACTAATATCTCCTTTTGGCTAAAGCCTTTTTGGGTTAGGTTTTTCCCTCACCTATACCCAAAATAAGCAATTTATTATTAAATGGGAAATACCTTCCCATTTATCAACAGATCCACAAAGAACTTGTCATTAAACCTACGTCTTGGGTTCCTAGGTATCCAAGCAAGAGATCAGCATTTTAACAATAAACCATAAATATTCAAGAAGTCATGCACAACTCATCAGAAAATAAAGTCAGAATCAGAGGGAAGAGATTTTTGTAATATAAGCTATGAAGACTGACAGAAGTTAGGGTGGCTTGGCAGTATCTGACAAAGTTTTTAAGAGCTGAACTGTATTTTTACTTTAATCAACATCAGTTGACATTAAGAGGTGTTACAATAAAAGGTGAAACAAAACTCAACATTGCACTATTATAGAGATGTTGATGAGGACAAAGCTCCTGGTATCCCACAGTATTTGCTCTAAAGGACTTAAGAAACACATTTACTTGAAGCCTCAGAACCAGATCAAGTGTGCTCTGAACCAACAATTGTTTGTTTTCATCATGTGATTAGATTTTTTTTTTTTTAATTTCAAGTTGGCTCCATGCCCAACATGAGGCTTGAACTCATAACCCTGAGATCAAGAGATGCATGCTCTACAGATTGAGCCAGGCAGAAAGCCCTGATTAGATTTTTCTTCATACTGGCTGCTAGGTTAGAGCCAAATTTGTGGTGGAAACTTTTTTTTTTTTTTTAAGATTTTATTTATTTATTTGACAGACAGATCACAAGTAGGCAGAGCAGCAGGCGGGAGATCATGACCTGAGCTGAAAGCAGAGGCTTAACCCACTGAGCCACCCAGGTGCTCCTGTGGTGGGATCTTTAACCCTAACATTTCTCTTCAACCCAGTCCTTAACATTTTTCATCACACACAAACATCCTCCACCCCCATAACATGATGGACTTTTTAGACCAAAGATGAATATAAATAAATTAATGGGGTAAATAATATACCTGGTGTGTTGGTAAAATACCCACTGTTCTTTGTGTAAAATTTAGAGTTTGGTTTCCCCTGGTAGTAATTAAATGGCCAGGTTAAACTGCTGATGGGCAATTTAAATGATTCTTAGGTTTCTTCATAATTATGCAACTTCGCAATTATTCTCAGTTTCTGCAGTTCAAACAGTAAGATAAAAACTGAAAACAGCCTTTCTCTTTGCTTTTAACCTTAGTTTAATGTAAATTAGTAAGTTAAAAACACTTTCTTGTCCTTCATCTTCTCCACGCTGTGGGAGAAAAGAATTCAAATATCATCGTCATCGTCTGGACATAATCACTCTCAAAATTTGGTCCAGAAATTCCATCTATAAAGTAAGAGATATTAGAGTAGCTGGCATTGAAGAAACAGGTGGTGGAATGATTACACTCTGTTATACCCCAGACAAAAGTTTGGATTCTAGACTAGAGGGAGAATGTATTCATCAAAGAACTCACATGGCTGTATTTTTGATAATTCTTCCTTGGTCCATTTTCTGCCCAATGCCATGCACGACAAATACAATATGGGTTGTCTGTGATGGCTTGTCTTCTAATGTGGCTTCTTCTACATAACCTCTATGAAGTCTGGTCCCACTACTTGATGCTGTAGAAAAAGTGTGATTCTAAGTTTATTATTTATTCCAGATATAGCATTTTGACAATATACTGAAAGAAATAATAAAGTAAAAGGAATATTAAGAAAAAATTTCACTGGATTGGGTGGAGATGAAATTTGTAAGAAGATGTATCTTGACTGGCTCAGATATAAAGTGCTTAAATGGACATGATGCCAAAGCCAGAAACAACAGGAAAAAAGAAAAGGAAGGAGGGAACGATGGACAGAACACAAAAAATTTTTGTAAAAGTTCTCTATCAAAAAAATACCATGAAGCAAAGATAAAAGGTGAATGAAAAACTGGGAAAAATTTTGCAAAATATGTGCAAAATTAGTTAATTACTAAGGTACAAAAGAGAGCTTACTAACCAAAAAGTGAAAAGACAACCATTCAAATAGCAAAATGGGCAAAAGGTACAAGGTAATTCACAAAACAAATACAAATGACTAGTAAACATAAAGAAGATATTCAAGCACATCTGTTACCAAAGAAGTCACAACAAAAGATGGAATAGCAAAAAAGATTAATATCAGACTTAATAAAAATTTCTGTAAAATGTATTGGTAATGCTCTCACATCTTTCTCAGGTACCATTTCCTCTTTTCTTCCCTTTAGTCACACTTCTTGAAAAATTCGTCTCATCTCACTGCCACCATTTCGTCACCTACCTAGACTTCAACCCACACCAATCTGGCTTCTGCCCCTTCAATCTATCCAAATCACCAATGACTTCCATTTCACTAAATCCAACATAAAACTTCAGTTTTCACCTTCAATTGCCATGTTTTATTTTTACATCACTGCCTGAGGTTTGATTGCTGTTGTGTTTCTAGAAGTATAAAAGATATTTATTAATCTTGTCAGATCATTCTAAATATATTACCACTGATGAATACATGTGAACTCAATCACCTTAATAAAAGTTTCATTTAACGGGGCAGTAACTGTCACTAAATTTAAGGCATATTTAAAATATACCAAAAATTGAATATGAATAGTCTATTTTGAATGTAAGAGAAAAAGATTCTTTCAAAATTTTGACAATCTATAGTAATATTTAACAATTACCTTTAGAAAATCCCAGTTTTTGAGTTACTGTCCTTGCAATTTTAGATGTTGTTGCATCACTATAAAGATACACTTCATCCATACTGTGCCAGTCCACGTGATTTCGACTCAACTTGAAACTATGAATAGCTGTTGCAAAAAGGAAAAATTAATGTTAAGGTTGCTCATTTGTGTGAAGAATTATAATACACAGATTTTTGAATCAGTATTTTAACTCTGTTCAATAAAAAACTGTCTTGCTGAAACACATATTGATGTGAAGCAAGTAATGGATAGGGACTTTATTTTATAAATGATAAACCATGCTATAGGGAATATCAACTTGTTTCAACGACACGGAATAACTGGCTTAACCACCATAATTTTAATGTGTAACACGTAGTCAGTATGTTGTGATTATTAGAGAACTGCTTTCCCACGTGATATGCCCATTTCTAAGGTCTAAGGAATAATATATACCTTCATGAAAGTCCTCAATATCTTTGACATAGAAACTTAAGTTTCCTTTCTTCTATGGATTTTATTTTTGGATCTGTGAAAATTTCACTCAGTGCAAGACAAAACAAGACTAGAGGAAAACAATTATCTTTAACTGGGATGAGAACAACCTAATTTATTAGAATATAGGGTAGTTTTGAAATGGATATAAAAACCAATTATCACTGGATATTGCTTACCATAACAGAAATCCAAAGTTGAAAGATGTTTTAATAAGATATCAAAAAAATATTGAAGAAATATTTTCTACTATGATGTTCAAATCAGTATGGTTATTGCATTTCTATAACTAAGGTATGCCTGGTGAAAATAAGCTCTAAGGAAAAAAAAAAAACAAACCTTTGTGCTCCAGGAATACATAAGTTCTCTGTGGCAGCTACAATGTCTTGTACCACATTTTGTACCACTGGCACCAGCGTCCTAGCATAGTGCCTGACATGTGTCACAAATTCAGTAATGTTTGTGGAAGCAGTGGATTAAGAATGTCATAACATATTCATGCATTCATAACTTGATAATTATATTCAGAAGGCCTTAAACTTTCCTCTTTATATCTCTGGTATAGAGGTGAGAAAAATCCACCTACCCATCTTCAGAAAACCAAGCACCTTAAAATTGCTATCCCTGATTTATTTAAAAAAAAAAAAAAAAAACCTTTTTAAGCAAAATATTATCTCCCAATATATATAAAGACCCAGAGGTACAAAGAGATTAAGTGACTTTCCACAAAGCTGATTACCAGCAGAGTCTAACTATTCTGACTTGAAGATGAGTTGAAAATAACCTGAAGTTTAAATATGAAAGGTTATATAGCCGAGGTCAAGATCTAAAATCGTAAGTCATTTTTATGAAAACCTATTCCCTACTAAGAACACATAGAAAAGTAAATCATTTCAGGGAAATTATTCTTAGTTATGTGATAAATGTAATTTCAAAAATTTATGAAAAACCAATTTATATTTCACTTATCTGACAGGATGCATTTTACTAACATTGAATACAGACCTAGATGAGATTAATGTAACAAACATTAATAATGTTCAATCCAAAAAAAAAAAACCAGTAGCAATGTACAAACTCAGATTTTCTTATAAAAGAGCTTTTTGTAAATTAGGAAAATCTTTTGCAAGAGTTTAATAATTATTTACTTTTCTATGTCTGATCCAAACCACTATTTTATTAAAGCATTTTCATCTAAAGTTTCTAAGCTACATCTTTGTTAAAATAGTTTTGAGTCACATATGCTTAAAACATTTAAACTATAGGACCAAGATATTAAGAGAATAGTGTTGAAGCCAACAAAATTTTGTTCCTTCTCAAATCATCCACAAACCGCCTTAAAGTAAAACCTCTTAGTATTGGGTGAACATCCCTTTACTGGACTACACACATTATTAACAAATGTTTATATTGCTTATAATTAGGTAACTCTAAGCAAAATAGCACAATGGACACATTTCTAAAAAACTAAAAACTTCTATGCTTTAAATGCTGATTACTATAAGCCAGGGAGAAATAACTACATGGAGAAATAAAACTACAATTACTGTACCTTGAGAACGCTTTCGTTTAAGACCTGCCGCATCTGTACTCTCCTTATATCCTCTCCATTTGAACAGAGAAGGGAGGGAGAAGGGAGGGAGGTGGTAGACAACTAAGAAAGCAAAAACACTGAGCTTCAAAGTAAATTTTAAATGAGGTTTGCCATTTTTGCCTTTTTGTTGTATGAACTTTAAAAGATGAGTTGTATTTGACAAACATTATTCTAAATGTTTTATTTATATAACTTCTAATTAAAAACCAGTAAAGCAAAACATTAGTTTAATAATGTTTATCAAATAGATGCTCTACTTTTATCGAAAGAAAAAAAGGCAAATGATACCTAAAATTTATCAGTTAAAGACAACTATGTGATCATCATATTTAATGCCTTTACACAGATAGAATAAAAAATAGGTCTGGTATTTTTGTATGCATAAGGGATATATAAACCCATCTTCACAATACTAAGGTTATTTACTTTCACCAAATTAGCTGACAGCTGGTGTCCAAATTAAGAAGGCAATAAATAACATTTTACACATTTAATGCAGTTTTCCTGAGAAAATATCACAATATACATTCCACTAGATGCCTTCTATTACTGAAGTATATAATGGAAGCTTCCCACAGAAACAAAATATTCTTTTCACAACTCTGTTCACTGTGAAAAGAATTTTAAAATGAAACTTTTGCCAAAATAAATAAAATTGGAAGCTCTTTAACTGGTTAGTAATAAAATAATGAAAGTTAGTAATAAATGATGAAAAAAGTCACTAGTAAAAATGCATGCTGTGACCTCTTTAAACATGAAACAGACAACATAAAGCCAGACATAGACTTGATTTTTGGCAAATCAGTAGACAACCTTGAAGTCAACACTTTCCCTGTTGAACATTGCTAGTTACATATCAGTAAATTTCTTTACATTTTAAAGAAGCATTTTTTTAAAAAATCCACTTGAAAATTGAACCTTATAAAACAGTTTTTTTTTTCTTTTCTTCTTCTTCTTCTTTTTTTTAATAAAGCAGTTTCTTAACAGTTCAGGAAATGAACCACAGAACCTTAATAACTTAGTTCAGATTTATGTTCTAAAACATTTGCTTTTCCATCCTCACTCCCTTCTACAATAATGTGATATTCAAAGGTTAAATACTGCTCAAATATGGATATATTTAATTCCTGTTGAGCAGTATTAGATACATTTAAAAAATCTGTTGTATGTATAGGTGAAGCATATTCAAAGATTTGTGCAATAAAGGTAACTGAGAAATGTTTACAAGGCACTTAATAATTACAACTATCTGTAATTAGATAGCTACAAACTAGAATTTAAAAGCTGGGTGGTAAGATTAAGATTATAAAAACATTTCATTGTTACAGAGAGGTAGAAAATGACAACTGAAGCAATTTTCTTCACTGAAAAAGTTTCTTCTCAAAGGTGACTTCTTGTTAGTTATTGAGGAGTAGATGTACCACTTGCAGGAAACATTTTTAAACAAAAAAATTCATTAGGAAAAAGCTAAATATCAAAGTAGATCAAATTGGCATAAATTTGAGACTTTACTATTCAAAGAAACAAAACCTAGGTTTTATATATCCACTAATAAAACTAACATGAACCAAATCTATATTTACCAAAAGAAAACTAAAATAATAATAAAAAAAAGACATTAGTAAAAATGTATGCTGTGACATTTGGTAAGCATGGAACAGCCAACATAAAGCCAGACATAGACTTGATATTTGGCAAATCAGCAGATAACCCTGAAATCAACATTTTCCCTATTAAATATTGCTGGTTATAAACCAATATAAAATGCTTTACATTTTAAATAAGCAGTTATTTATAAATCCACTTGAAATTCATATGGACCTTTGACTATACTTCAAAATTATACAAACACTTTCAGAAAGCTACTCAAGATATAAAAAATAAAGGCTTTTCTTTCAAAAGGAACTGCATGATTTAGGGATTAAAAAAGACAAATACCCCAACTTACTAAAAATAGAAAAGCATATTTGTTTAAAACATTTTTTTAAAGATTTTATTTATTTATTCATTCATTCATTCATTCATTCATTCATTCATTTGACAGAGAGATGGAGAGAGAGCACAAATAGGCAGAGTGGCAGGCAGAGAGAGAGAGGGAGAAGCAGGCTCCCCACTGAGCAACTTGATTCCAGGACCCTGGGATCATGACCTGAGCTGAAGGCAGGTGCTTAACTGACTGAGCCACCCAGGCGCCCCTATTTAAAATATTTTCACAAAATTAAATAGGCAAGGTTCTTTATACCTTCCTCTCAAATCAAATTCTTATTTTCACTTGAAAGTCACTTGTTCTATTTGTCACAATATCTCACAGCATAGTTAGAAAGCTTAATTTTTTTCAACCCAAAGGGCAGAATTAGTGGTACTACCGTGAGCACAAGAGAGACAAAAAGTATTTACTATCAATCCAACAGGGATCCCCATTAAATGAAACTCATGTGCTAAAAGCATTAATGAATTTTTTCCCCTAAAATATGAAGTTTTAGTTAGGAATTTTTATGTTAGCAAACATATGCATAAACTCAAAATGTTAACTTATTAAATGCTAACATTTAGTTAAAATGTTATTTTATATACCAAAGCCTTACATAGCAATGAAGATTTAAAGCACTAAAGCATTTCTAATAAATTTCCATAATAATCCTTCTCCTCCTAAAAGGATTTTCTTCATTATATAATTCTGAAAGCAACAGAGTATCTAAAAAGGGGGTTGCTGATGACATACTAATTCCCAGAGTAGAACAACTCAATGACTTTTTCCTTTTTAAAAGCTAGTAACCTGGATAGTCTCAACTTTAGGGAAAGCAGTTTTGACATCTCAAACATGCCAACTGTAATGAGAAAACCCCCAGCAACCTTCTTGGATCTCAGAGAAATTAAGTTAGGTAAATTTATAAAAAGTAATAACTAAAAAGCTAGAAGAGGAGAATCCTCTTAGTCACCAAAGAGGGAGGAAAAGAAAAGCTGGTTAGAAAGGATTAGCTCCCCTACTCCTCTTGCCTTTTTGACTTTTGCAGTTCTGTATTCAGAATTTGGGATATTCTTATCCAGCAAAAGTGATAGGAATACACACTTTACATGCCAAATTGTTAAATGTTTTAAGTCCTTCAAGATATGCCAACACCTGTGATGTCACAGTATCCCAAAATAGCTTGAACAGTAACCTATGACTTTATATTGATAGTGTGACACTTAGATAGCACATAGTTACATTTCACATTCTTAATCTGTTAATCTCTGCTTTTTAATTGGAGCATTAGTACTTACATTTACTGTAATTATTAACATGGGTGAATTTAGGCCTACCATTTCACATTTATTTTCTCTTTGTTCCATTTGTATTTTGTTTCTTGTTTCTTCTTCCTGACTTCTCTTGGGTTAATTAAATATTTTTTACTATTTTATTTTAATGCCCCAACTGGATTTTTTTTTCTTTCATAACCTTGACATTAAAAAAAAAATCATCTTTATTGAGGTACAATTGACAATAGTGTAAGATATTTAATGTGTACATCATAGTAAATTGATATACATTGTGAAAGTGTTCCCCTTATCTAGTTAATTAGACCCCTCAACAATTTGAAGAGCTCTGATCAGTTATTTTGTAGAATGTCCCTTAAGTTGAGTTTATCTGATGTTTTCTCATGATTGGATTGATGTTATACATTTTTTGGGTGGGGTGAAGTACAGGACTAACCCATTTAAAAACTTTAATCTTTTTAAAACTGATTATTGCTTGCATCAATAAAGTGAGTCAAATACTACTCTGGTACTATATTCAGATATTTTCAAAATTACTTATTTGAAGTGCTGATTTTATTTGTAGAATTCATCCCTAGTGAAACTCTAGACCTCCATTTGTTAGGCTGCTAAGGTGGGGTGGGAAGAGAATCAATTTTTATTGCAACTCTACGAGAAAACAAAATTTAGATTAAAGTATCTAAATCACAAAAAGTCATGACATTTTTATGGGTTATCTTTATGTATGCTAAAAAAGTTATGCTAAACTTTCAATCTATTTCACTGCTCACTTTGAGATTAGTAAGAAAATTAACAAGGAGAAAATACTTTAAAAGCCAATTTATTTGTGGCATCAGCTACCCTAACCAACAGATAAGGTCAGAAAGAAAGGAATTATTTTAATGTCCTTCAAGGCAAGAACTCTGTTTAGTTTCTTAGAAATTCCGGAGGGAAAATAATTCCACAGAGCACTTAAGAGTTCCTTGATATAGTATTTTAAAATGTTTTTAATTATTAAGTGGGATTTTTCCAGAAAGTCTTATTTGAAAAACTCCACAGCACTGTGATCTCCAACTCTCTGTATTTCAACTCTGTTTGCAGAATATCTAATTCTGTATTCACTGTTTACTGTGTTATATTATACTTAACTCTTTGTAACTACTCTCACCTTTGGGTTTGTCTTTCCCAAAACTTCGTGAGGTTCAAAACCCTGTATTTTTCACAAAAGTGCCTAGCACAGTACTATCTGCACATGGAAACATTGAAAACCTCCTAAAAATATGAAGAGTCAAGGCTTTCTCACATGTGCATGAGAAAATTTAGGTGGAAAAGATATTTTTACCCTAATGAATTAATGAGATATGAAATTTTAGAAGCTTGGAGGTAAGAAGCAAAATAAAAGATAATGTTTTTATCTTTGTAGATATGGTAAATCTGATTTTTCTAACAATGGTGGCTTTTTAGACAGCAAATATTCTTAAGACCAGTGATAATTTTCAAGTACACTACAAAATTTCCCATAATCTTCAAAGTCAAATATCACATCTTAACACAGAAATGTATGTTTTACATAAAGCTGAATAAAAACTAAAATGGCTGTGAATTTATGACAACAGTATATATACCACATTGAACTTAAAATCTTTGTTAATAACAAAATATACTGAAGCTTTACTTATATGCCACAGTGTATTTTAAAAAACCAATTTTTCTTCTAATGAACCTTAAAGAACCATCATTTTGAAAGATGACAAGGGAAAAATGTTCTAACAGTTTAAAAATTTTCTGTTGCAACTAATGAGAATTTTACCAAAGTATATCCTTAAAGCTAGCAAAAAATATTACTATAATATCCTAAATTGATACTCTAGAATCAACACAGACACTCTAGGCATACTAAAAGTCTACTCACACAAATATACCATGTTCTTTATTAGACTTCTTTAAATGACTGGTACATTAAAATTAGGGTACTGTGAAGAAAATGGAAGTATCCTGCTATCCTTAACATTTTGACAGGCAGTAGAAGTAAAAAAGACACACGAGATTCTAATTTTCACTGAAATAAAAACAAGATTCCAAATAGATGGATATAGAGATAAAACAGAGCTGGTGAGTAACTTCTATTGGATAAATTAGTAAGAGTTTTGAAAAAGAATGTTTTGAATACAGTACAAGAAAGGGAAATAATCTACTTAGATTTTTATTTTTTATCCTCATCCTTTTTCTCCTCCGAGCTCTTGGGATTTTTTCCCCTACTAATAGTAATGAATTCAGGTGGCTAAACTGGGTTTGTTAAGGTGAACTGCCATTTCTGAGGGAGGACTGAAGGAGAATTAATAGAAAGAAATCTAGAATTCAGCCTTCTCCAGTAGCAATCTTATTTTGGTAGTGATCATGAGCCACAACTTTCCTCAGTTATGTAGACTTTTAATCAACTAGATACAAAAGATATGTTAATTTGGTGTGAACTAAGCTGTATAGTTTCCTTGCTTGTGATGTGTGTGTATGTGTGTGGGTGTTCACAGAGAAAAAATACGAGAAAGAAGACTTAGGATGTTTGATACTAACAATAAGAAAAAAAATTAGCCAATTAAAAGCCTATTGTTTTGCATTACATCATGTGAACAATTACTTTTTTTAAATTAACATATAATGTATTATTTGCCCCAGGGGTACAGGTCTGTGAATCATTAGGCTTACACATTTCACAGCACTAACCATAGCACATACTCTCCCCAGCCAACTATCCTTCCCCTGCCCCACCTGCCAGCAACCCTGAGTTTATTTAGTGAGATTAAGAGTCTCTGATGGTTTGTCTCCCTCCGGATCCCATCTTTCTTTCTTTCTTTCTTTCTTTTTTTTTTTTTTTTACTTCTAACCACATAATTTTTTCAAGCTGCATTCTGTGAATTACTTGATCAACACTGAGTTTTTCTCCTTTAGAGATGTTTTATGAGAAGGGGAAAAAAACCCCACTTAACTCATATTTTAATTCGCTAGTTTCAACAGGGCTTGCCAAGAAACCTCCCAAATAAAGGCAAGTATAGATGAAGAAATACTTTTTAGAAAAACATATTTAGAGAAATCTACAAATTCTACTCTACCTATATTATACTCACCAGAATAGCTGATCCCACTGCCTGCAGTAAATGGAACAATAGAAGTATTTTTAACTTTACCACACATTTTGAATTTTACTCAAGATCAGACACATAATGAAACATGGCCATCTTGGCTATGATATAAATATTTTAAGGTATTGCAAACAAATGCAAATGCTGAGTAAGGGAATATAAAGAGTAGACTGTTTCAAAGTAAAAGTTGATGTGGTTATCAATATGGAAACAACCTAAAGGTACTCATACAAAGGAAATTAAGGTTGTTTTTTTTTTTTTAAAACTTCAGGAAAAGAACTGACATTAAAATATTAATAAAACTGCCCTTTTGATATAATGACAAATTTTTTTTGTAGATTCAATTTTCATTGGTAATTACAAACTACTGAAAAGGACTAATTCACAGAACCTTTAACAATTTGTACAATAGTAAGTCATGTTAGTGTCATGCCAATGAACACATATACTAAGTAAAATAAAAACAGTTTGAAATTCATAGCAGTATTAAATTCTAAAATAATCAAATGTTTAAATCTGGAATTTTAAAAATTCTAACACTCATGAATTACCATGCAAAATTATTAACTACTCTAAACTTCATCAAGAACTTACTTGGTTTACAACATATTAATTGTATTAATTGGTCTTACCATCTTTTCCATCTATGGATTTTGACACTTCAATATCAAAATTTTCCTGCATCTGCTGACCTCTAAAACAGCTGAGATGTTCTTGCTCAATTAAATTACTTTCTTTTTCTTCTAGAGGCTGCCAAGTACCATCAATAAACCACTGTCCACGCATTACTGGTATTTTATCTGCCTCTGAAAAGAGAAAACACAGAATTATACATTTTAGGATCCAAGGGTCCCAGAGAGAGACATAGTAACTATAATTTTTATATTTTGTTACTACTGTGACAAAAACTTCCATGGCTCAGCAGAATCATTTAGTTTTAAATTTTAGATTTTAAGGCACAGTACAAATTTTTTACAGTATATTATTTTATTTATATTGGATATTATGCAAAAATTATTTTGGCATTAGAAAGGTAGATGAGCTGTTATCTTTATAACTGAGGCCCTGAGTAACCCAAATTAATAGATGATGGGGTTAAGACAAGTTCATGCAAGATGCTGGTAATAGTTCCAATGTTTTAGAAAATACTGATACATGTTCCCAGAAGTATTTCAGAACTAGAGTGTGTGGTAGTAGTGTGCTGTACTTTTTAGAGTTGCCTTGAAGGTGATAGATTCCCAGTTAGAATATAGAAATAGCTGATATATTTAATTATAGTAAATTCCTTACCCATTTTAGAAAAAAAATGAGTAGAAAGTTTTCTTGAATAATTGTAAACATTCCTTTGATTAAATACTGCTCCTAGGAGCACCTAGGTGGCTCAGCCCTTAAGTGTCTGCCTTCAGCTCAGGTCATGATCCCAGAGTCCTGGGATCCCCGCATCAGGCTCTCTGCTCCACGGGAAGCCTGCTTCTCCCTTTCCCACTCCCCCTGCTTATGTTCCCTCTCTTGCTATGTCTCTGTCAAATAAATAAATAAAATCTTTAAAATAATAAATTAATTAAAAAATAAAGATTTAAATGCTGTCTCTATAAGCCTAATACTTTCCTTCCTTCCATACCTCCCCCCCTTCCCTTTCTTCCTTTCCTTCCATGCCCAGTGTGGAGGCCAATGCAAGGCTTGAACTCAGGACCCCAAGATCAAGACCTGAGCTGAGATCAAGAGTTGGAGACTTAACTGACTAAGCCACCAAGGCACCCCTATTTACTTTTTTTTTAAAAATAAACCACAACTGTTATTTTGAATCCTTTAAGATTTGTAAAAAATAAACCAAAAATAAAATGGAAATAACAAGCCTAAAAATAAAAAGCAAAATAAAACAAATGAACTTAATTATGTAGAGATTTGGTGGTTTAATCATATATAGAAAAATTATTTCAACTGGGTTTAAGACACAGTAATCTTTACATATATGTATTAGGATATATCCTGTGAACAAAAAGAACTACAGATACATCTTAAGCCTGAATTTTGTTTCCTTGAGTTGTTCAAAATGTTATTCTAGCTTTCCTTGCTATATTATTCTTGAGAATTCTGATGTAAGTCTAATTTTTTTTTTTTTTAAGTAAAGTGATCCCCTGCTCACACTACCCCAGATGATAGAAAAAAAATTGCCTTTAAAGTCTAATAGTTTCTGACTCAGAGTTCATTGTTCTGGATCAACCAGTCTTGATGGCCCCTTTTAATACATAAATTTCAATTTTTCTCTTGTTTCTGAAAAGTTCACTTGGATTATGGTTTAGTCATTAGTTCTGTTCCAGTGATTTCTCCCCTTTAGGGACTCTAATTGTAGATATGTTGGGTCTTCCTTTTTCTATATGGAATTTCACACAGTTTCTCAAGCTTTTTATTTCTTTCTGCATTTTTTTCCATTATTTTGTTTGTTTTCCTTCCTTTTATCAATCCCTCTTATGTCAATGCCCCTATTAGTATGTCCACAAGTTTGAGAAATTTTTTATTTGGCTGGAGTATTTAATAGTTTCCTGAAACTTTTGGGGACGATGGTGGAGTAGGAGGATCCTAAGCTCGCCTCATCCCAAGGATACAACTAGGTAACAACCACATCAGTGTAAATAATCCAGAAAACAATCCGGAGACTCTCCACAGCTAAATGTAGACATGAGGGCACATTGAAGAGGGTAGGAAGGGTAGAGACTTGGTTGGGAACCAAACTGACTGGGAGACTGTCCACAGGAGGAAGTGATGCTGTAGGCACAGAAAGACAGAGGAGCAGACACCTCACCAGGCATGGGGAACCTGCACTGGGAAAAGGAATCATCATAACGTGCAGCTTTGAAAACCAGAAGGTCCTAACATCTCAAGTTCTTACAATCAGTGGGGATTAAAAACTGGAACTTTAAAAAATTAGTGGGCTTGGGGTGCCTGGGTGGCTCAGAGGGTTAAAGTCTCTGCCTTCGGCTCAAGTCATGATCCCAGGGTCCTGGGATCGAGCCCCACATCGGGCTCTCTCCTTGGTGGGGAGCCTGCTTCCTCCTCTCTCTCTCTGCCTCTCTGCCTACTTGTGATCTTTCTCTGTCGAATAAATAAATAAAATCTTAAAAAAAAAAAAAAATAGTGGGCCTGGCTCTGGAAGAGCCAGAGAGGGAGAGAATGTGACTTAATGACATCCCTATCAAAATACCAACAGCATATTTCACAGAGCTAGAACAAATAATTCTCAAATTTGTATGGACAAATTTATTTTCTCCTTCCTTTCTTCTTTCCTCTCCCTGCAATGGCTCTGAGGGGAACCAACCTTTCTCTATCTCCTCTCCCAAGAGCAGTGTTTCTCTGATGCTGTTAGTCATCCCTCTCTTTCACACACCTTCCCTATAGCTAGTGCTATGAATTCCTAAGTCCCAGGCCTGTGTCTGTATTTTCCCAGTTGTGTGGGGGATGTTTTCTTTCTATGGGGGTCATTTTGCTTGTGCTTCATTGTAAACTTCTGATCTCCTTTCCTGTCTTCACTATCTCTTGAGCCTCTCCTTGCCCCACTTTCCAGACTCAGGGATTTGTAGCAGCAACAGGAACTTTTGTAATTTGTTGTTTCTTTACACAAAGGCAATTTAAAATTCATGGTATTATCTACACTGTAGTAATGCTGAAGGTGTGATTTATATATGGGCCACGTGTGTGCATGTACGTGTATGGTCCTGTTTGGTCTTATGGCTTTTGGGAAGGATGTGTGGAGAGACTAACATTTGGACAGCTGCCATTATCTTCCAAACCCAAAAGCTCATCTCAATTTTTAAAAAAGATTTTATTTATTTATTTGACAGACAGAGATCACAAGTAGGCAGAGAGGCAGGCAGAGAGAGAGAGGAGGAAGCAGGCTCCCCATGGAGCAGAGTGCCTGATGTGGGGCTCAATCCCAGGACCCTGAGATCATGACCTGAGCCGAAGGCAGAAGCTTTAACCCACTGAGCCACCCAGGCACCCCCTCATTTAATTTTTATAATAATCTTAAAAGATAGCTATAGTTACTGCACCTTTATAAATAAATAGGTTAAGTCTCAGTGAAACTGAATAACTTGCCCAAAGGCACATAACTAAATAATATGAGAAGCAGGATTCCTGCCAAACTTTGACTCCAATGTTCATCTAGGCTTCTACTCTACAACACAACCTTCTCAAGAAAGAAAAATCCTTTTAGCCTTTTCCCCAAGAAATACAGACTGTTTAGCTGTGTTGGTAATTTGAAAACAAGTAATTTGGGAGATTTTATACTGACAGTCTATCATGAGACTTACAAACCAGAGCCAACAATGCCTCCCTGTAAAAACCAGAGTGAAAAACAGTAAAACAAATTTATAGCAAACATCTGTACTTTGAACTCTTTTCCTTTCTTTAGCCTAATAAATCTAAACAAATACTCTACTGATAGATGTTTTTGGAGTTTTATCCAAGCTTCAAATCCTACCAGTATGCTATCAAATATCATCTTTCTGGTTCAGTCCTCTATCTTGTCCAAATATTCAACTGCTAACTAAATGTCTCCTAGCAGATACATCACAATGACAAGAATCACAAGTAGCCATGGAACATACTAGATTCCTGGAAAACAAAACGGAACCAAAACCTGTTACTCGACTTGTATTCCGTCACAGCAAATGGTGTGCTGACAGCATTGAACCAGTCACCCAAGACGCCTCCTCCTCTAGTGCTTCTCATAACCAGACATTAATCAGTCTTTATTGTATCTCCTAAATCACCTTCAAATTCATTCTATATTCATTGGGTCTACAGTCTAAGTTTACACTCTTATCATTTCTACCTGTTTTATTTCAGGAACTTCTTTTCTAAATGTAGTATCCCTAGCTTCAACTCTCATCAAATGCCTGCTCACACAGCTGTGTAAGTAGATGTGTTCATGCACACACATACACGAATCCCCCTAACTTACCCTTTTCTTTTTAGAGAAAGATTCAATCCTTCTTTTACAGAATTTCCAGAGAACCTTTGTAAAATACCACAAATCATGTTATTCTAATACTTCAAATTCTTTAATGGCTCCTCACTCCCTACTAAATGAACTCTGAGCTTCTTAGAATTAATTATAAGCTCATGATCTTTCTTTGACTACCACTTCACATAACTGATGCTGTGTTAGGTACTTATTCACCTACATAATATCTGAATGTCTACCATGAATCAGGCTCTGGGGTAGGCTCTGGATGATACGTAAGATAATGCTGATGGTCGCTGTGCTGTCCATGTCAACAAGGATAGTTCTTTGAATGTGTGATGTTGAGTTGTATTTTCTGTATCAGGGATGTGCTGTTCCTTCTACCTGGATTCTCTTCCCTATATTCTTCATTTAGCTAACTTTCATCCTTCTCTCCTGCAGGAATCCTTTGGTGACCTGCCCTTCTCTGTGATTTCACTGAAAAAACTCTGCACATCTGTCAGTGTTTATGTTACTTAGTCTTCCCTCACTTCCATTGGATACTTGGATGTAGGTACTATGTCTTAGGAACCTCTAAAACCTAAAAGAGAAGAGCACCTACTATAAAGTAGGATTTCAATAAAAGTATGCTGAATGTTGCTGAACAAGACATACTTCATTCAGCTTATCCTATCACCTGGCAAAATGTGGTAGACTGAGCACTTTTATTATTACTCCCAATTGGGCCTTCCTCAGTTTGAGTGGTACTCACCAACCTCTTTAGTTGGTCTATACTGTGGTCAGCCATTAACATTCTATTTTATGATAATTATGTGATTCAGAGGAAAGAGTGACCATTTT